ATTTATTTTATATTGCGTTCAGGATGTTACAGAATGCAGCAGATTATTACAAAATGTGGGTTTTATTACATAATTACATTAAAATGTTCTTGAGTCATTACATAATGTGTTGTTTATAGGCCTTTTCTTTTATTCGTTCCTTGTCCTTCTTTTAATGAGTATTTTGATAACTGTTACACATTGATAGAAACAAACAAATTAAGCTTCTCATTATTCAGACTCAGCTCTTAGCGCTTAAGCTTCTTTTAAATGTTGATAAAACCAAGGTAATGCTCTTTTCAAAAACTAAAAAAGACACCAGAGCCTGTTTTAGATATTGTAATTACACAAGGAATAAAACTTGAAGTGGTTACCTATTACAAATACCTTGGTATCTGGCTTGATGATTGTCTCACTTTTAAACTTCATGTCAATAACCTGCTTAAAAAACTGAGGGTTAGGCTAGGTTTCTTTTCCAGGAACAAGTCCTGTTTCTCACTTGAGGACAGAAAAAGGCTAGTCACTGTGACCTTTTTACCTGTACTGGACTATGGTGATCTGATCTATATGAATGCACCTGCCAATTACCTGGTCAAGTTAGATGCCGCCTATCACAGTGCACTGAGATTTGTGACAAACTGTAAAGTATTAACCCATCACTGTACCCTGTATGCAAGGGCAGGTTTGCCTTCACTAACTGCACGGAGGCTCAGTCACTGGTACATTTTTATATACAAAGCCATGTTAGGGAAACTTCCATCCTACATCTGCTCCCTGATCTCACGGCGAATTGTAAGTGGCTACTGCCTGAGATCGAATGTTGTGATTTTATTAAATGTGCCAACTGCTAGGACTGTCTTAGGGAAGATAGCATTTAGATGCGCAGCTCCGCTAACTTGGAACAGTCTGAGCAATTTGGTTCCACTAAATGTTTTTAAAGCAAGGATAGATGCTATCCAATCGGAAACTGTTGGAACCTGTAAATGTTACTAGCTATGTAAACTGTAGTCACTGTAAATATGCTGTATGATGTCCTTTTTTGTTTTTCTGTTATGTTTATATGTATTCATGTGGAACCTACTTGCAGCAGGTCACCCTTGAAAAAGAGATCAATGATCTCAATGAGATTCACCTGCATAAATAAAGGTTTGAAATTAAATGAAAGATTTTTTTTATCAGAACATGCATTTCTCCTCATTGTGAACATATATTGCACTCATGTTCAGAATATATGGTACGTACATGGTCTTTTATAAATCTGAATATATATAGTGCATACATGTCCCCATATAATTGTGAATATATAGCGCATACATGTCCCCATATAATTGTGAATATATATAGTACATGTCCCCATATAATTGTGAATATATTCTACATACATGTCCCCATATAAATCTGAATATATAGCGCATACATGTCCCCATATATTTGTGAATATATATAGTACATGTCCCCATATAAATGTTAATATATAGTAAATGTATGTTCACATATATACACAACCAATATATTATATATATTTACATATATTACTCAATATATGGAAAGCGGCAATTACTGATGTATTATCACATATATTACAATATATTATCACAATATATTATTCAATATATATATATTGTAATATATTAACACAATATATTATTCTATATATCTTCAATATATTTTCAATATATTTTGTAGATATGAATAAATATGTTTTTCATGTTGATTATTAATCAGTATCAGTTGGTGTAGCCAACAGCAAGATTTCCTTTATTAAATCTTTTCAATTAACCAGTAAATCAGAAAACAAAATAATGCAATATATTGACAGTTAATATATGGGGAAATATATTTTCTTTGCGTAAGGGAGTCTTGTTTGATAAATACACAAATAACAATGCAAACTTACAGGTTGTATACCCAGATCTTCCCCTGCTCCAAACGGTCCAAACAAGCTATGCATATCCGGCCTCAAACTGGGCAATGTTTTGGAAGCTTTCGTCTGTGAAATGCCGGTTCTTCGAACCTCTGGAGGAGGAACACGCCGCTGCTGGTGTGGCCATAGCTCTTCGGGATTGGTCCATTTCGTTCCGGGTACCGCATGACATCAGGCGGTACCCGGAACTAAATGGAAGACTCAAATGGGCAGTGACGTATCTCCAACGAGGCGTTTTGGGGAGGTATTTTCTGTGTTAGAGTTTTACTCGCTACAGGGTGTACTTTGAGGGTTTTGACTCTGCACACCGTTTACATGCATAAAAACCTTCATAACACACAAGGGGACGGGTAATAACCGGAAAAGCATGACATGGGAGCTTTAAGATATTCATTGCTATCGGGATGTTAAGAGCATTCCATGGAATATAACAAAAAGTGTATCTCGAGCCGGTTTCTCAAACTTACCTACCCTACCTTTAATAGTTTGATCGGTGCTCTCTATGAAGGCCGATCAGGAGAGCCGATCAGATGACGCAAAATACATGAGACTTTTCTGTGAGCGGCAAAACAAGCTCGCCAAAATGGCTTCACCGGTCTGGCAGTTTTTCAAGGTGTCTGAAAAAGACAATAATAGCTAGGCCTATATGCAACGTGTGGGAAGCAGAAAGAGAGAGAGAGATCAGGATCAGCTGCTGCTGACGGAGACACGGACGGACCGGTGAGCGGAGCAAAACACACACTTCAAGTTAGACCTAACACACTTAGCTATTTTATCTACCTCTGGAATAAGCTAAACTAGTTATAAATATGTTTATTCTTCACTCGGGTCACTCATTACTGGATCAGTGAGCTGCATGAGACGGATACTGACGGGCTGTCAGGAGAGGGAGAGAGAGGTTCCGTTTATTTCTCCCGTGTTATTATCCAAAGTTAATGTAAACTTTTGAATAATGTACTTCATCTACTACACTGTAGTAGATGAAGTACATTATTCAAAATTCAAACTACTTATACTGTAGTAACTACAGTATAAGTAGTTTGTTTGAATGTAATAATTATGTTGTTTGTTGTTTGTGGAAGCGCATCATTTATTGCAAAATGAATCTGAAATGTTCGATCTCATAAACTGAAGCAATATAAAAAATGAGCCCCATTAACTGAGTTTTAAACATCAGCATATATTACCGGTCATAGTCCGGTAATTACCTGCTAGTGCTAACGGAAACTCTGCTACACAATTGTTATTATTAATATTATTATTATTGAAACATGACCGGTAAGTTTAGAATTTGTCCGGTAAAATTAATTGATAATTGACCGGCAAAAAAAATCATAGCGGAAACCCTGGTCTATAGACCAATGAAAGTGCGTATGAGCACATTCTACTGTTAAAAAACTAGAAATGTAATCTAAGCTAACAGAAAAGGCTCCGTTTTAGTTTAAAACATAAAATATTGCACATCATTAATGAACATATGGGTTCTTTTTTTTCAAATGTATTGTAACACTGTAATCCTGCTTGTAATACCAATTTATTGAGAACTGTAGCATTAATTTATAACGTCTTTTTTTATCTAACTATAAGGCAATACAGACATCCTTTTGTTCAAGGTCAACTATTATGCTATATTTGAATATATTATAGGGCCATATCTATACAAAACATGTCTCTGAAGTGTTTTGACAGATCACCCATTGTAGCACGCCTCATACCTCTGTATTTCAGCCCTGTTATGGCGCATTTCCACTACACGGCCTCGCTCGGTATGGCTAGGCCTCATTAGGACTGGCTCACTTTATGGCGCATTCCATTACAGTTTAGGAACTGGGGTAGTATCTATAGCAGGGGTCGGCAACCCCTGGCACGCGTGCCACCATTGGCATGCGGGACCGTAACCAGTGGCACACTAGGAATAAGTGTGCAAAAATATTTAAATTGTATTTTCGGATCCTGAACGAGACCGCCGGCAGAGCGCGTCTCCCCCTGCAGAAGGAAGCCATGCACGCAACACAGCGCAGAAGGATAACTTCTATGCCCCGCTCTCTTTAACTCCAGTTGACTTTTTGCTGCTTTCCTCCATGGTGAAACGATCAGGGGTGTAGCGCACTTCACTCATTGCAGTATAAGGAGCTGTACATGCCGCAGTTTTTGCGTGGCTGTGTCTTTAGTTGAAAGCCCAGTGGCGATCTGCTCATCTGTCATCGAAAATGATATGCTACACAGGGGCGGACTGGCCAATATCTGTTCAGAAACTAGACAAAAGTTAATCAAGTTCAAACCACAGACTGTCTGTGTCATGGCGAATACAGAATCACACGTTGTTGTGAGTGTGGACGGTCGGAGCATATATTGCGTTAGCTTAGCCAATCTCCATCTAGAAAACACGCATTTTAAAAGGTTTTTCACCTGCCGTCTGTCTGCAGACTTGTCAAAGCATTAATTCATGGTTTTTACTAACCGGTATCAGTATGTTGTTACTTCGGCATCATTTTGAAACGTGTATTACAATTAAATTACGGTCAAATATGTTCATTTTGTTGTAGTTGTAGCCCCATTGCCAGCGATTCTCTCTCTAGTTTAGCATACTCAGCCCGACTCAGCCCTGTTTGTTGGCCCCGATAGAACCACAATTTTGTCAAGCCAGAAAAGAGGTGAAAAAGTACCCCCGGGCCGGAACTAGGCATAGTGGAAACGCAACCAAAAGCGGGCCCGGCACGACACGGCACGCTTAAACCGCGCTCCGCGCCATGGTGGAAATGCGCCATTAGAGAAGTGCTGGGTCTGGCCCTTTAAATGTAACCGAGCTGCTGCTGGCCACGCCCCTTTGGAGCGGAAACCACAGCCTACAGTGAACTCCAGCTTTGTCAGTGTTAAATGTGCACGTTAAATGTATACTTCAGTTTGAATCAGTTTAAATGAAGATAAAGAAATTAGACAACTGGCTGTTTGTAAATTAGAAGATATAAAGACATGCACAATAATAATATGTAACATTTGTAAAGACAACCTTTACCACATACAGTTGAAATGTGAGCATAGTGAGGAGAAGCACTACCCATGTTTGAAACAGTAAAAACTGACAGGCCAGCCAGTGCAAATATCACAATTGGTGGTTTATTACCAAGGGGTTTAATGTACACTGTAATATGAATTAATAGAAAAAGCTATTTATTCATGTACAAATTACAAATACAGTTGTTTTCTCCACTCTTTTGTTTAAATGTACACAAGTTTCTTCTCTCCCATCGCTGTCCCATAGCAGCTTTACAACCTGGCAAGACTTTGCAGTAAAACGACAAGTACGAAAAATAAAAATGCATTTCAGTCAGTTCAACATACGAAGGAATGGAGAAGAAAAAGAAAAAGCAGGAAAGCCTTTTAGTTCTTAGTAAGAATCTTACTTATTTCAAAGGCTTTACAGGAGAAACCTTCTTTAGAACATTGAAAATGTGCATGTAGCATGATTTGGTGGTGCTGTAGTGTAGAAGCAAGCTTTTCTTTAAGGCAGACACAGGGATGGCAGTGGAGGAAGAGAGGGAGCCACAGTCGGCCTCTTCACAGAATTAAATATCCACAGTCACTTTGACTGGGTACAAAATAACTACTGGATCCCCCAGCACGAGTCCAATGGGTTTGTCAATACGTTAAATGAGTAAAAAGGCCTTTACACATGAAAGACCACTTAAAGTAGAGAAACAAACTTAGAAAAATACCAGACAAAACATACATTTCATACAATTCTGTTTCTATCCCCACATCGGCACCACATAGTAGATTAAGCTGAATCTTCATCTCAAGTACATAACTGTTTGTTTCATGTAGTGTGTATCTTATACAGTGCAGAGTATATGGGCGTTAATTCATGTGTGTGTATGTGTGTTTGTTGTATTTCTATACTTTTAAGGACCAAATGTCTCCTCAAGGATAAAAGCAGTGATAAAGCTCTGGAAGACAAACACGTAGATCCACCCCTCTGTGAGATTGTCATTCGACATGTAAAATAAAAGTTAAAAGTTGTTTGGCTACAATTAAGCATTTGCCATCTGCTTAATGTTAACAAGTACAAACATAATTTTAAATCCAAACACCAAAATAAACATACATTAAAATTAGGGATTCAGGAAATCAATCAAATGTTATGTTAAGTAAGAAAGAAAAGGCTGATTATTATATATTCTGATATTTCATCATATGTGAAGGGACGTGAGAGGTTAGTTACTCAGGGACGACTATAAATATGCTTCAGAAACATTTCTAAGGATTCTTTAAAGGAGCTAAATTCCAAATTCAGAGCACATGGACCCTGCCAGTGGGACAGGGACACACACACACCCACACAGGGACTCACATGCACTAACTATGCAAGCAACACAAACACAGAAGCTCAGATTACGACAACAGCAGAGGAAGAAGGACGTAATTCTCTGCTCACTTCTCCTCAGGAGCGTGCAGAGGATGTCAGAGGGAACCTTATTCATTAAAGAGCACTCTTTACAACGATGTGCAAATTCACTTCTGTGTGGTTAACTCTTTGTTACCTGGGTTACATGTGCGCAAACAGAAATGTACTGTTTGTAAAATAAAGTCCATTTGAAAAAGGACTCTTGTAATTTGAGGGCAAAAAGGCGGGTGCTCAGGCCCCCTTTGAGTTCGATCTGTGCTCGTTCCTGCTGCACTATAGCTATATAGCTTTTGATTACACGGCTTACAGTAGGTGAATACTGGACTCTGAGCAATTTGGACATTTCAGAGGTTGTTAATACTCTATAACACATTACTGCTAAGCATAACGTCAACGTTGCTAAGGTGGATCAAGGGAGAGAAGGAAAGAGGTTAAAAGACAGAGCGTTAGACGTCAGCGAAATCAACAGAAGAAGACAAAAAGGAAGTAAACATTTAAGGGAACACAGAGCGGAAGCAATACGATCATTTTACGATAATACAATACAATGCAATATGTTATTTAATGAAAAAATAGGTTTTTCATTAATGACCGCCTTGCTGCACATTATCCCTTACATACCTTTACAATTGATGCTCTGAATGTGGAATTTAGAACCTTTAAAGCTCTAGCAGAAGGCCTCTAGTGATAAGAATGTGAATCAATTTCTTCATATTTACTACCTGCAACACTACATTTTAGTTTTCCATTTTACATGTCGGAATATCATACATAATGCCCTTAAAACTATTGGAATGAAATAAGCTGTCAATGACATGTACCCTACATCCTTCTTAATATTTCTCTTGGATATATTACTAGATGTTGTATGGTGCTGCTTCCAGTTTTCAGGGTAAGCCAGCTGTATACAGGCGTGAAATCTCCCATCCAACTCTTGGAAAGAACTCATTATGTCCTAAAATCTTAAATTCCTTTAACCAAAGACAGTGAGGCAAGCTTCAGTGTTAACAGTGTAGTCTGTGAACATCCATCGAAAGTCATGCTTTTATGATTTCTACAAAATGAAGCATTAGTAACAGGAATACATATAATATTTAGGAAGGGTTATTTAAAATATTAAATCTCCACATTGTAAAACTACAAAAAGTACTGAAAAGAAAATCAATGGTGTAGTAAAGGGACATTAGTAAAAATACATGACACTGGTAAACAGCTGCTGTGGATTTGTTTCCAAATTATGGAGTAAGTTCTGTGTTAGGATTGGGTTGATTCTAAAGTAACTTCAAAGTTGAATGTTTTTGAGGTAAATTGATTTTGGGCAAAGATTTAACATATATGTTTTACAGTTTAAAGGGAAACACCCTGATTTTTTTATAAGTTGAATCAAAAGTTTTCCTCGTGGTCACTAGATGAGCAGCTGTGAGGTGTTTCCTGCCTAATTTAACCAGAGCAGGGAGTTTCCCTTCTAGGTTGGTGTTAAAGATTTAGCAGTGGCTGAATGTCAGAGGGTGTCTTCACAAGTATAGTAATACAAGCTTGTGCGTGTGTTTTAGTGTCTCTTGGCGCCCCCTAGTGTCGGTTCCTGCTCGCTGTGTGTGTTGTTCGGTGTGTTGCTGCCTCCACACAGTAGTTGGGTTTCTCAGAGGAAGTGAAGCCCGGCAGACACACACACTGATAAGAACCCACTGTGTTAATGCACTTTGCATTTTTACACAGTGACATCCTACTGTTTAGCTCCGAGCACTCGTTCACATCTGTGGACAGAGGAGGACAGACATGAGATTAAAGTGCACCTATCATGCTATTTTTGGGCATATATTATGGGTCTAAGATATATACAAATATATAAAAACATGTCTATGATGTGTTTTGCTCAAAATACAAACAGATCATGCATTTTAGACATCCCTCATATCCCTCTATTCCAGCCCTGTTAGAGACACGCAGATTTTGGGTCCTTAGCTTGAAAAGAAAAGAAAAGAGGAGGCGGAGCTAATGCCTGATCAGAATTCTACCGGAGTTAAAGTAAAATTCTGTCGTGATAAAACGCCATCCTGTTCTAAACCCCATCAAGGATTATTTCTGAAACAGTATGGAGCTCAAATGCCTTTTCTCTTGCGGGTTTATTCCAAGGTGAGTTCCTTTTTTTATTTCCTGCTTTTTAAAACACATGTGCTCTCTAGTACTGCGTTAGCTCTGAGTGTTAGTGATGCCTGCTAATGTAAACAAAGAACATATTACGTCCAAAACACGTCAGGCATTGTTTCTGATAGCAACCTTCTGTGGGTCCACCATCCGAAATTACGTAATATCGGCAGCAAATCTGTATCCGCTCGTTGTACCCCCGTTTTTAAAAGATTTGGGTACGGAGGAAAAGAGAAAGGGTTTTATTTTCTGGCACTTTGTGAGTTCCCTGACACACCAGGGACACATATTTATGTATAAAAGACATCAAAAAGTGCATTTTGCTTGATAGGTCCCCTTTAAAACATGAAAGATATTCTTTAGTTAATAGTCTAGCTGCCAGCTCATAGAATCCTACTGTGAACCCAGAAATGTTGAGTACATCAAAGTGTAATGATAGAAATGTATAGTATGGGTCCCCAGCACATAGAAACTGCCGGATGCTCACTTGAATATGTTGGGAAATTCTCAACAGTAGAGGTAATAATTTTCATCTTGTGCTCTCTATATCTAATGATCGCAACACTGCTCATGGTAGTCAAAATCAACCCACCGAGATTACACATTGGCCACTTTCTGGTTAAAACTGCCATTTGCCGGAAATGTCAGAAATGGATTCAGCATCCTCAATAACTCCCCAAACTACTCCAAAATTGCCCAAATTGGCCAATACATTTTTTAACCATTGTCCACATATAATGATAATTGATGCTATTTAACGCACATTATGCTAATTGTGCACATTCCCCTACATGTTCAAGTTAGCATCCGGCAGTTTGTAAGTGCTGGGGACCTTACTATAACATAAACGTTGGTGTACTCAACATTTCCAGGTTCCCAGTGCTGGCAAATAGACTATCAATTTAGTTTTATTGTGTTTTGGTTGTGTGTAGCAGCACCGTACCGACACAGGCCATGCGGGACAGGTCCAGGGTGTATCCGTCGAAGCAGTCGCAGGTGTAGCCCTCCTGAACCCGCACACAGCGCCCGTTCTCACAGCCGTTCAGGATCCCACACTCCTCTGCCCGCAGACCCTCAAAGGCCTTAAACGGAACTGTAGCACAAAGAGACAAATGAACTCCAGAAACATCACATGTTTAAGTTGTATTCATACATCCATGGGTACACTACAATGAATGGGGACCTGCGGACTGTTCAAATATCATCCCTTAAAAGAAGCTCATTCTAACATTTCATTCTTTTTATGAACATAGGATGGCAGCAAAGCGCTGTTAAATATCGATCTATCTATCTCTGTGTTTTCAGGCTTCAGATGTTTGGAGAAAACCAACAAAAACATAATTTCAATACAAAAGTAACAGTGGTGTTTTTTTTAAGATAATCTTTGTGAGCCTTTACAAACTAAATCAAATAAACTTTGTGGCTACTTCGAAAAATAATAATAATAACTGTTGTCAATCATGGATAACTACGACCAGCCAGCAGCTGACAGGCAGGAGCTCCTGCTCCAGCTCCGCTGTCACAAGGACAGATACAGGAAACATTCCTGCCCACTGCAATAACTCTGTACAACAAATTAACTCTGGCTGGAAGAGAACTCTCTGCTCAATAGCTTCTCTTTGGTTCACTGGACTTATCATTTTACATTTATCATGTTGAATTAATATGCCATTTCTTGCACACTAAATGTAAATAATATCTTACTTTTATATTGTGTTAGCTGTAAATTGGCCGTTCATAGTGTTTATTTGTCAGATAGTTTACAGATTTGTATCTTTACGGTCAACTTGTATATTTTTATTTTTTATTTTCTTCTTTGAGATGTTTATATTTTATATTTATTTTCTACTATTTTTTTATTTGTAATTATGTGCAATGCCTTGTTTTTATGCAGCTGTGACGAACACATTATACGCAAGTATATCTTATCTTATCGTTTAAATGTGTTGTGTATCTTGGGCACATAACTAGCAATACCTTTGTGAAGGCCTGATTAAAGTCTAGTATATAGAGCATAGTGTTCGTCGAACGCTTTATAATTACAGTTTTTAAATGTCATTTTATACCGTGTTTCCGCTGCACTATTTCTTAATGCTCTTAATGTCTTTTATTTTTGTAAAGAACTTTCAATTGCCTTGTGTTGAAGGTGCTATATAAATAAACTTGCCTTGCCTAATGTAAGAAGAATCAGAATAATCAGAATAAAAACAATCCTGTGTTTCCGTGCAATATAGTAACTGTAAAGGATGCACACAAAAAAATACTCACGTTCCTCGTTCTCATAAAAAGGCAGGGCCCCCTCCTGCTCAGGGGACGGGGAGTAGTCAGAGTCCACTTCATATTCATGGACCGGGCCGGCAACAAGCGCATCGCGACCGTACGCCCGCCGCCAGCCGAGGTTACACATGGACGCATAATCCTCTAAGAGACAAAAGACAAACATATTTTAACACTTGTAGACTACTGTATGTATTCTCTATTTTACTATGCAGCTATGGATCATCTAAGGAATAGGTGGTGAAGTGTATAAAGAGACCAGGAGACCAGAGGGACAGTGACTGATGGGTGGTCGATATCAAAATTAATTCATAAAATTGTAATTGTATTTGCCATTGGTGTGTACGATATGTGTAATTCAGGATTACATGGAGTTACAGAGTACAGTCTAGTCCTGTTTTATATGAAAAGAGCCATGAGAGAACTCCTGTTATGATATGGCGTTTTATGAATAAGATAACATATAATTATAATGGAGTAATGCAATATGTAGGGACATTAAATGTTGAAAAAACATTTTACATGAGAGAGTTCTCTGTGTGAGTGCTAACAAAAACTGCCCATCCAATACAAATGGTACGACAGAATGTAAAACACAGAAACATATTATGGTGAATACTTGATTATTATGTTCAACTTGGTCAGTCTGCTCTGTCTCAACAGCAGACTGTTACTAAGGAAGCTCTGATCAACGGACTGTGTGCAGTCACATCAATATAAAGAAATAAGTCGGTCAATTTAATGTTAACTGTGGCCCAAAAAAACACATTATTTTTCCTTTATCAGAAAACTTGTTTTTTATATTTGTGGAGTGCCCACAATTTTGGATATATGATGGTCACAAATAAAGGAAAGAAAAAAGAACAAGAGAAGGAAGGAGGTTAAAGACACAGAAGAGGCTTCTCAATTCTTAAATTTCCCCTCCTCGACTCCTCGACTCCTCGGTCCTCCGGTAGTGACCCGGAAATGAATTTCAGCGCGCCATGTTGAAGGACATCTCATTTCTCTAAATGCACATCGAGGACCGAGCATCGAGCGTCGAGGAGGCTCTCTGGAGGAGCTCTAACCGAGGAGACACTGATGGGTCCTCCACGGCTCCTCCGCGGATGCATTTCCGGGAACGGTGGAGGCGTGACGCACGGCCGGACTTATCTCAGCCAATGACAGCTCTGCATGCATCCCCTGGATATTATTTTAGTATAACTGCTTTCATCGCGACGCTATGTTTACAGTGAGAACAGCTGTGAGGTCCGTGCAGAAAGCAGAGCAGTGTGTATAATATATATCACTCAGTATAACAGGCCTACATTACTCTCTGTATTTGTATGCTGTAGTTTAGTAGATATCTACAAACAAAGAGTCGATATTTTTCTAAGACCATTTAGTGCTTCACATAATAAAATACACAATGGCTGTAGCCTGATTATGCTTCAGGAGCTGTAGGTGTGTGTGGTACAGTGTGTAGGTGTGTGTGTGGTACAGTGTGTAGGTGTGTGTGTGGTACAGTGTGTAGGTGCGTGTTGTACAGTGTGTAGGTGTGTGTGTGGTAGGCCTACAGTGTGTAGGTGTGTGTGTGGTACAGTGTGTAGGTGTGTGTGTAGTACAGTGTGTAGGTGTGTGTGTAGTACAGTGTGTAGGTGTGTGTGTAGTACAGTGTGTAGGTGTGTGTGTAGTACAGTGTGTAGGTGTGTGTGTGGTACAGTGTGTAGGTGCGTGTTGTACAGTGTGTAGGTGCGTGTTGTACAGTGCGTAGATGCGGCGGACAGACAGGTCTCAGTTGGTTTGGTGTCCTATGCTTACTTTTAATACTTGTAAATACAACTTTTGGCCCGTAATTTCAATTCCCCATTTCAGCGACCAGAGAGAGGGGGGGATATATCCAGTCTCTGATTGTGTTACGTTATTATGAGAGTGCTCTCATACTTTAAATTGTATATATTTATATAAATATATGTGTGTGTATATGTCCGCATCTGTAGCCTGTTATTGTCTCATTATACCGCACTGTGAATTAATTCAAAGTAAATATATGGAGGGTCTCTTTAAAATGACCGCTCAGAGGAGAGGAGTTCTCATTTCTCTAACCGCCTGTTGCTTCCCCTCCTCTCTCCTCGGTTCCCCTCCTCGACTCCTCCGCTCGCATCTCCTGTGGGCGGGACTAAGACGAGAGGATAGGAGTCGAGGAGGGGAGTCGAGGAGGGGAAATTAGATAAATGGGAAAGGTCCATGGACAAACACTAAAGGGAACAGCAGAAGAAGACAGACAGGAAGTAAATGCTAAAGGGAACAGCAGAAGAAAACAGATAGGAAGTAAACACTAAAGGGAACAGCAGAAGAGACGGACAGGAAGTTAACACTAAAGGGAACAGCAGAAGAAGAGAGACAGGAAGTAAATACTAAAGGGAACAGCAGAAGAAGAGAGACAGGAAGTAAATACTACAAGGAACAAGTAGCAAGTAGCTGTGAAATAAGACAATAGGTGTATAGGATCCCTCCGGTGTGTGTACCTGTGTCTCTGGGGGGGCACAGGGCACAGTCCATGCCCCAGGCCTCCCCGTGCAGACAGCAGCACTCTGTGTATGTGGTATCGATGTGTGGAGCCAGCGGGCGCGTGCACGTCATGGACTCTGTCACCGCCTGCCAGCACACTCCACCATGGTAGTCTACCAGCTGGGCCGCCTCCTGTTCCTCTGCAGAGACATGATATGGTTTAAAAAATCATAAATCATACACTCGAGCATGTGCACGTCGTTCTACATCAGCCAATCGGCTCGCTTCTCCCTCACTGTGAATGGGACCCAGGTAACTCTCAATATAAACACGCCTGTTTGCTATCCGGGTTCCAAAATGGTGGAACGAGCACCACTTTGATATCAGGACAACAGGAAGTCTACACATCTTCCACAGTCTGTTATGAGTTTGTTTCTTCATGGTTGAATGCAATTATTGTAAATCGCTTTGGATAAAAGCGATTAACTCAAACAAACATAATATTACAAAAATTTAAAAAAATGTTTTACAAATTCGAGAACATTTTAGAGGGACATTTAGAATAATTTTGTGTTATAATTTAATAGGATACTTTCTTACCAGCCTCCTCAGGGGGGAAGACGCAGCGGTTGGAGTTGGGGTCCAGCACCATGGGGTGTGTACAGAAACACATGTATGAGCCGTCTGTGTTCATACACTCTCCATCAGCACACACCGACTCATCCTGACACTCATCGATGTCTGCCGGACAGAACAGCAAACACACACAGTTAATGGAAACACACACACACACACACACACACACACACACACACACACACACACACACACACACACACACACACACACACACACACACACACACACACACACACACACACACACACACACACACACACACACACACACACACACACACACACACACACACACACACACACACACACACACACAGTGAGCCTGTGACCTAAGATTGTCATCGTCATAACTGTAGCTATGTTCGTATGACAAATGAAAACCTTGAAACACACATTACATCACATTGCATTTAGCTGACGCTTTTATCCAAAGCGACAGAATCATATAAGTACATCAGGTTTCATAGAGCCAAAACATTTCAAGTGCTACTCAACTGGCTTTAGATAAGCCATTCCTTTATTAGTATATAAGTGCTTTGTTAGTATATAAGTGCTTTGTTAGTAATTGTATCGCTCGAAGTGGAGTCGAAAGAGATGAGTTTTCAGTCTGTGCCGGAAGATGTGTGCTTTCTGCTGTCCTGATGTCAATGGGGAGCTCATTCCACCGTTTTGGAGCCAGGATAGCAAACCCACGTGTTTTTGCTGATGGGAACTTGGGTCCCCCTCGCAGTGCTGGTGCAGCGAGCCGTTTGGCTGATGCAGAGCGGAGTGCACGTGCTGGGGTGTATGGTTTAACCATGTCCTGGATGTAGGAAGGGCCAGATCCATTCACAGCATGGTACGCAAGTACCGGTGTCTTGAAGTGGATTCTAGCAGTTACTGGAAGCCAGTGAAGTGAGCGGAGGAGCGGCGTGGGAACATTTAGGAAGGTTGAAGACCAGACGAGCCGCTGCATTCTGGATGAGCTGCAGAGGTCGGATGGCACATCACACATGCCAACCAATTCAGTTCCCACTCCTTCAAAAAATGCTAGCTCACAAAATCAGCTTAACATTGCTGAAAACAGCAAAGGCACACTATGAAATATAACACAATGAATCATGTTCTCCATTTACTTTGAAGGAGTTGTGTTGATATCTGAGTACACACATAGCAGGGTTCACCTGACTGCTGATCTATGACTGGATCATCATGAAAGACTGAGTTATTACAGAAAAACACTCCACAATATGAGTTTTTTTTCTCAAACTATGAGTTCAAATGTCCAGCCAAACTCCAAGTGCTTCAACTCAAGACTTTCTCAATCATTTCTCACTCATCATACGTATAAAGCACAGTGCAGGATTTTTGTAGTTTCTGTAAATTAAAAGTTGAACCTTCTAAATGTGAATGTTTTCAGGTTGAGGGTTACAAAAGGCGATAGATCTGTGTAACATTGCTGCCATATGTGTATAAACTGAATGCTAGGCATTATTTGCAGCAATGTTTTCACAGATTTTCTCTCCATCATAGCTGTTTGCGTAGAGCTTTTATGCGCATTGATACTTTTCAAAGTTCCTACCTGCACATTTAAATGTTTATATATATTTAACCCTGCTCACATATCTGTATACTGTATGTACATTCACCGGATCAGAGTTTAACTCATGTCATTTTTGTATTTCTATTATACTTCTATTATTCTTATTATGCACATGTATATTCCATGTGCACTATCTGTGTTTCTTTCTTATTCTGTTGCTGCTATGACACCTGAATTTCCCTAAGGGGATCAATATCTCATCTTATCTTCACTTGGGCCAGGACTAACATTTCTACAAGGTAGCTTGAACCTTTTTTTTTGATAGCTTTGCAGCAAACAACTTAATATGTACTTTGTGACAAAGTTAGCGGATAGCACATTGTGTAGAAGACACTGGGCACATGTGCCTGGATCTGATACACAGCTCCTGAATTAGCTTGTATAAAGTCTGAAGCAGCAGAGTGCAGGTGTGCTGAGGATGGAAGACACCATGTGTACCTGGATCCTGGGTAAGTCATCTCATTTTCAGAATTTGACTGGGATATGGTGACTCCGGTGGTGCTGTGTTTGGGTACTGTAATAAATGGCCTTAAAAGCTCAGGTTATGTAAAATGTGAGGTTATTTATTTTGTAACTGTTAGCTGGACTAGGGGGAGGGGCTTAACATATATAAGCCACTACATATTGGATGACTCTGAGGGTGGCTGTAAACCAGACAGGTGAATAAACAACACATTTTGCTGACTGTATTTATAATATTGATTTTGGTGTGGACGTCCAAGTCATTTTGTATACACTACCAGTCAAAAGTTTGGACACACCTTCTCATTCGAAGTTTTTTAATTATTTCAATGTTTTCTATATTGTAGATTTATACTGAAGACATCAAAACTATAAAAGAACACATATGGAATTATCTAGTAAACAAAAAAGTGTTAAAAAAATCCAGAATATGATTTATAATTTAGATTCTTCAAAGTAGCTGCTACTGCAGAATGCTGTGGTAGCCATGCTGGTTAAGTGTGCCTTGAGTTCTCCCCCCCCCCCCACTTCCTCCTCCATGCTTCACGGTGGGAACCACACCTGCAGAAACCATCCGCTCACCTTCTCTGCGTCTCACAAAGACACGGCGGTTGGAACCAAAAATCTCAACAGTGGACTCATCAGACCAAAGTACAGATTCCCACTGTCTAATGTCCATTCTTTGTGTTTCTTGGCCCAAACAATTCTCTTCTTGTTGTTCATCCTCAGTAGTGGACCTTTGCAGCAATTGGACCATGAAGGCCTGATTCACGCAGTCTCCTCTGAACAGTGGATGTTGAGATTGTCTGCTGCTTGAGCTCTGTGATCATTTATGTGGGCTCTAGGCTGAGGTGCTTTCATTTGTGCTTTCTGAGGCTGGTAACTCTGATGTATTTATCCTCTGAGCAGAGGTAACTCTTGCTCTTCCTTTCCCGGGGGGGGGGTCTTCATGAGAGCCAGTTTCAGCATAGCGTTTGATGGTTTTTGCGGCTGCACTTGAGGATACATTCAAAGTTCTTAACATTTTCCGGATCGACTGACCTTCAGTTCTTAAAGTGATGATGGACGGTCACTTCTCTTTACTGAGGTGACTGGTTCTTGCCATAATATGGATTACAACAGTAGTCAAATAGGGCTTTCCACTGTGCACTAACCTTACCTCTGCACAACACAACTGATGCTCTCAAACACATTCAGAAGGCAAGTCATTCCACACAGTGACTCTTGACAAGGCACACGTGTTGATTGAAAACCATTCCAGGTGACGACCTCATGAAGCTGACTGAGAGAAGCCAAGAGTGTGCAAAGCTGTCATCGAGGCAAAAGGGGGTTACTCTGAAGAATCTCAAATATAAATCATATTCTGATTCCGATTTTTTTATTTCTTAGATATTTGACCCACAGTTTTTGACACTTCAAAAGTAGACGTGCGTTCCTCCTGGTTCAGGTGAGTGGAACATAGATACGGTGCTATATAGTCTGGTCTTTCTGCTTATTGTTGATTGAATGCAACAGGCAATGGAGTGAACTTCTAACTCACACACCATCATACACACACATCAGTGGCGGTTCTAGAACATTTTACATGGGGTGGCAAAGGGGGGGCAAGAGGTCATGCCAGGGTGGCATGGGAGGGCGGACAGTACGTGGTATTTTATACTGTATATAACTTATTTATTGTTAATTCATGCCCTAACACAAGTGTTCTTAATGCACAAGAGAAACAAGGTGTTCAGACAAACAATCGGGTGCCCTTTGAGTCCCCCAAGCTTACTTCAACAATTTTAAATGAAAGGAAACTACAAAATGTATTTTAAAGCAATGAATTAATGGAACAGGTTGTTTTGCATTACAATGTAAAACTAAATATATATATATATATATTTAGTTTAAAAAAAATTGGTTGTCTTAGTAGTAGACAGACATATTTGCATGTCCTCACTTAGCATTATTACATATTAATTTAATATTAAACAAATCAAAATGGCCAATTATCCCAAAATGTTGCTGCTAATATAATCATATGCTTGTCAACTTTAACTGATCAAAAAGAAATTCTGAAGAAATACTTGAATTATCTATGAAATTGCAATATTGACACACGTCCCTCAGTTTGTTTCAACCCCGTCACGCCATACCATTTACCCTCCTATTACAATAATGGATCAGTCCATGTGTGATCTGCATTGAGGGAATTACATCACAAAAGTCTTCTGAAGAAAAGATGGCAAAGAAAGGCAAGTGTCAGTTTCTTCTCTTACCTATATTTCAGTTTTTGTATTTTCAGATTAAGATTGACAAGCTCAACATTTCAACTCTGTTGTATGAATTAATAATAGTAAATAATTGTTTATTACAAAATAAACAATAGTTTTGCAAAATATTACAATTTTGTAATGTCCTTGACTTCCATGTGGTGCCATATACTAGCTAAACAAGGTCTCATGGCTACTTTTTGTCAAAAACTTCAACCCTGTTACATTTTTTCAAGGAAATTCCTAGTAATTATTTATATTTTGTGCCTGAGGTGGGAAAATGTAAGTAGTCCACTACCAGATGTTATGACCAAACATTTTGGTTTCATTTTTCAAAGATGTAAAGACCCAAAAGGCACCCGATTCAGAGAATACTCAGAACTCTGCTTACTGTAAGTACAGTAAAAGTACTTAGTTATAATTAAGTACACAAATTACATCACCCATCTCTTCAGAGAGCTAAAGGTGACCTGTGCAGCAACACATTTCAATACATATTTGTCAATACTAAGAGCTGCTAGATTGTGCTGCTGTGATGGAATATGTGCAAGGAGAATAAGAACATACCATGTGGTCCAGCTGGAGTCTCCTCTGCCTCCTGATCACTGCCTCTGTCTCTCTTTCTGACACTTCATCTGCATTCCTCACATACATGTCTTCTTCTTCACTAATGTCTTCATCTCCTCCTCTTCCTCCTGCTCTGACCCTCCTGGTCTCTTCAGTGTACTCTCTTTTCCTTTTCCTCTTTCTGTTCGTCCTGATCACTTCTCAGATGTCTTTGTGTTGTTGTTGAATCACTCCAGCTACTCTGGCCTGCAAGAGTCTACTTGTGAAAAGCACTGGTACAAATGCTTGTATAACTTTACACGTTAGGGCCATGTAGCTGATAAGTAGCATATCATAAATATAACATCAGAAAGTATTTATCAAACGCACACAGGCAGCTGTGTTCAGACCCAGTTTGACGGTAAAGGATGTATCCTGGTTTCATTGATCTGGCCTCATTGCTGTGATGTGTAGTTTACGTGGATCTAATAGTACCGCATAGTTTAGCAAAGTGATCGATCTCCCAGCTAGCGCTGTCTGTGTAGTATTTTGTAACGTAACGCCCCAAACAGCGACCGTCTGTTAAACGCTATCGATTCAATCGGCTGCGTTTTATTAATATTTAGTTTCAAGCTCTCGTCCTTAGTGAAAATAAAACCAGTGGAAGGGGAAATGCTCCCAGGGGAAGCTGACCCACCCTAGGTGCTGGGACAGCTCGCTCCCTCTCTGCAGCTCTGTGAGCCGCGGTCTGTGTGAACGCCGCTCCGCAGTTTAATGCAGGGCCGTAGCTGCGTTTTTAACGGGCCTAAAATGATATTTAAAATGATTCACTTTTAACTAATGTAATGCTTGTTTTGTTGCTTGAGAAGCTTGTGGAAATAGTGTAGGTTTGTTTTAGTACAGTTTTAGGGAAACAAAAGTTAGGGGGGCAGCTGGGGGGGCAAGGCTCTACAGTGGGGGGGCAGCTGCCCCCCCTTTCCCCCCCATAGATCCACCCCTGACACACATGCATGCAGACACACTCTGAGTTTGTGTAACGCTGTATCAGGCTGACCTCTGCACTCCAGTCTGGCAGGGTCGTAGTCCTGTCCGGTCTTGCAGTAACACTCATAGCTGCCCACCGTGTCCAAACAGAAGCCTCCTTTACACACCTCCTGGCCGAACAGCGCACACTCATCTGCGTCTGAAACAGAGACAGGAAACATGTTCGCAGAATTAATGACCGAGAGCCAGGAGTAACTGTGCTGTGCATGTAGCATTCATGTAGCGTTAGCATACGGATATGGGAACATAATATCATCATCCTCATGTAAGTTCATGGAGAGGATACCAACACAAAGTTTGTAATAGTACATGTATATAACTCCTGAAACATTGTGACTGTATTATTCATTAGGGTTTCACAGGGAACATGTTTCAGTGTTTGTGTTGAATGTTTCGACCAGCCCTGTCTCTGTGCTGCTAACTGTTAGAATCACATTAAGTGAATGTTGTGCCTTCACAACAGCTTTTCCAACAACGAGCTGGAATCGTTTTAATATGTATATGCTGTACAATTGGGGTTTAAGACATTTCCTGTTAGATACATCTATACACTTTGCAATGCTTCATTTTATATACATTCTAGAAAACAGTACTCTTGATGGAGTAGCATTAGATGTTTTGTTTACAAATCAGTATCATAAAAAAGAATGGGCCCCTGAGCATGGAGGCCTCTGTGGAGAGAAGAGAAACAGTTACAGAGTGCATGAAGACCCTTGTAAAGGTTCTGAAATAGACCCCTATTATTGCTGACTGTTCAGTGAACTGAACTTGTATGAAAGGTCTATACAAACAAAGTTTGAATGATTGAATCCAAAACTTCATATCCTCTTATTGTCGGCAACCTTGCTCTTTTTATCTCAACTAAACATCTGGGACGTAACGTTTCATGAATGCATCTTCCACTTTTGGAACAGTGCAATAGATAAACACCTGGAAAATTACTCCAAATGTATTCTGTGGTAGTTCCATTTATCTTCTTAAGAATTGTGACCAACACACACCCATGGACAGGGTATTTTATAAATGCACTCAAACAGCATTATCAGACGTACACTGATGCTGATATCATTTTAATATGCAATAAGCAGTTGATATATAATCAGACTCTAAATGGGCACATCCAGTTGTGTTGCTTCCAGCTGGACTCAAATTATGCTGTACGATGGATGATGTTGAGTTGTCTAAAAGACGCTCAGCCTTACCTTTGTAGCTGCCAGCTGTGGGTACCCCATACAATAAGTCTCCATTGGGAATAAGACCTCTTCCAGACGGACACATCTGATTGAACTGGTCTGTGAGGGGACAGACATGGAGGTTCAGAGGTTAAGATTCCGGCAGGCACTGTGGTGTGTGTGTCTGCAAACCTACAGTATATACTGTAAGGACACAAGGTGGTGAGAGTCAAGCAAGTCAAGTCAAGTCACATGAGTTCATGAACATCGTATATCACACTTTCAGAGAGAATCACATCCAGAGTTCTGCAGCTCCACTTATCCACATTTATTTATATAAATGTTATTATATACACAAACACACACACGTTTCTTTTGACGTAACGGAGAGACCGGAGCGGCTTCGCACTCGGGCTGCGGCCTGCTTTACACCTGCTGTAGCAGAGGCCTGTATCCACCTGCTCCACCTGTCGTGCTCTACGGTGCCGAGGAGGTTTTACCACGGGGATATCGCTGAGAGACCGGAGCGCCTCTACGTTTCGGGCTGGATCTGCTTCGCCTATCCTGTACTGCTGTACTGAGGAGGATCTTCACCGGGGACATCGCGGAGAGACCGGAGCGCCTCTACGCCTCGAGCTGGGCCTGCTTCGCCTATCCTGCTGTGCCGAGGAGGTTTTGCACCGGGGTCATCGCGGAGATACCGGAGCGCCTCCACGTTTCGGGCCTGCTTGCGCGCCTATCCGGATGCTGTGCTGGTCCGGGAAAATGGCCCCTATCGTGTTTCTGCTATGCCTGTTAGCTATTTTGGACAATGAGAAGTTCTCTCGTCATCCGGAGAAGTCGACTGGGTTCAGGTCTGTTCTACCGCCCGCAGTGGACATCCCCTGTAAAGGTTCGGATGTCTTACACAAACAATTACTGGTTGCCTTGTCACAGACATTCAGTTCGACAAATGTTTGTCTTTCTCACTTGCCTGCTATGATGGTTCTTCAGGACTGCTTCTTGAGCTCTAATCTCACTTTCGCGGAGTTTGCTGGTGACTTTAAAGCAGATGACAATGTATGTGTGTCGGTTAAAAGGAAAAGGTGCTTGTTTTTTTTGCTATTATTACTATCAGGGAATGTACAACTAAACCCTGGACCGCCCAGTAGCAGTAGTAGTCAGATAGCTACTCCTGCTGATTTTATTTCTAGATCTGGATTGGGATTCATTCACTTAAATGTGCGCAGTCTGTTACCTAAGTTAGATTTTGTCCGCATTTGGGCGAGCTCGACTGATGCTGATATCATTGTCTTATCAGAAACCTGGCTAGATAAATCTATTTTGGCCTCTGACATCTACTTAAATGGTTATAGTGTATATCGTACCGACCGTCCTAAAAAAGGTGGTGGCGTTGCCATTTATGTGAAAAATAAGTTTTGTGTAACCAAGATGGTTTCCAAATCTATTAGTAAACAACTAGAATTTTTAGCCTTAAATATTGAAGTAGCAAAGGGTCAACAGCTCATGGTGGTGGGCTGCTACAGACCCCCCTCAGCTGTCAAGGACTCTTTATCTTCATTGGCAAAACTTTTATCTCAACTTGACTACAAGGAAATAGTGCTGCTTGGTGATTTTAATTGGGACTGGTTAACTTCTGTGTCAGAGGATTTTAAAAACCTTTGTATCTCTCTGAATGTTACTCAGATTATTGACAGTCCTACTCGCCCTAACATTAAGTCCCCAAATAAATCCTCCTTAATTGATCTCATTTTAACTAATGCTCCCCATAAATACTTATCTGTGGGAGTATTTGCAAATGATCTGAGTGATCACTGTGTTGTAGCCACAATTAGGGACACAAAAGTCCAAAAGGTTAAACCTCGCATTATCAGTAAGAGAGACAAAAAACATTTTGTGGAGCAGGGTTTTGTTCATGATCTGTTTGATTTTGATTGGGGTAAAATCGATCTGTGTGCTGATGTAGAAACTGCATGGTCTTATTTTTATCTTGGTTTTATGGAAATTATAGATAGACATGCACCCCTACGTACTTTTAGAGTGAAGGGACGAGACAATCCTTGGTTTTCTGCTGACTTATCTAGTCTCCTACATGAGAGAAACAAGGCCTGGGCAAAGGCTAGGAAATCTGGCTCAGAGGTAAAATGGCTACGCTTTAGGCAGCTCAGAAATAGCTTCACATCACAAATAAAAAGTGCTAAGTCTAAGTATTATCTGTCAGTTACCACAAAGAACCTGAATAATCCTGGAAAATTTTGGAAAGCCATAAAATCGATATCCACCGGTGATATCCGTAATGAGCTACCTCCGTGCATTACCACAACATCTGGCACTATATCGGACAGGGCCACTATGTTAAATTGTTTTAATGAGCATTTTGTGTCCTGTGGCTCTCTGTTTGATTCTGTGACAAACTCTGCTTCTGTGAACACCACAGTCTGTGACTCTGAAAAACGTGTTTTGGAAAACCCTTTTAGTTTTACTCCTTTTACTGTTGATGTTGTTCGTGAAGCTTTAACCAAGTTAGATCCTAAGAAACCGGCTGGCCCGGACAACGTAGAACCTTTCTTTTTAAAGATAGCTGCAGAGTTTATTGCTCCACCTCTCACTACTCTTTTTAACCTCTCCCTCAGCACAAACACAATTCCAAAATTGTGGAAGTCAGCGTATGTCCTGCCTTTGCTGAAAGGAGGGGAGGCAACTGTTTTAAATAATTATAGGCCCATCTCGAAATTATCAGTTCTGGCTAAGGTTCTTGAACGCCTAGTGAGTGAGCAGGTAAAGGTGTTTTTATGTACAAATGACATCCTGTCTAAACATCAGTCAGGCTTCAGAAAGCAACATAGCACCATCACTGCCACAATGAAAGTGGTGAATGATGTGGCGAGTATTTTAGATAATAAGCAGAGCTGTGCAGCTCTATTTATTGACCTTTCCAAAGCGTTTGATACCGTCGATCATCGCATCTTAAAGCAGAGGCTACTCAGTATTGGCATATCCAGCCATGCAGTGGGGTGGTTTGTGAACTACCTCTCTGAAAGGTCCCAATGTGTTCATTTTGATGGGCTGTCTTCTGAGTGGTTAAACATTACTAATGGTGTTCCTCAAGGTTCTGTTTTAGGTCCACTTTTATTCTCCATCTACATCAATAGTTTAGGTGAAAATGTCGATGGAGCAACCTTACATTTTTATGCGGACGATACCGTTATGTACTGTGCACGTCCCTCCATTAAGGAGGCTGTTGTTGAATTGCAAGCTGCTTTTAACATTATTCAGACTCAGCTCTCAGCGCTTAAGCTTCTTTTAAATGTGGATAAAACCAAGGTAATGCTCTTTTCAAAAGCTAAAAAGACACCAGAGCCTGTTTTAGATATTTTAACTACGCAAGGAATAAAACTTGAAGTGGTTGCCTGTTACAAATACCTTGGTATCTGGCTTGATGATTGTCTCACTTTTAAATGTCATGTCAATAACCTGCTTAAAAAACTGAGGGTTAGGCTAGGTTTCTTCTACAGGAACAAGTCCTGTTTCTCGCTCGAGGCCAGGAAAAGGCTAGTCACTGTGACCTTTTTACCTTTGCTGGACTATGGTGATCTGATTTATATGAATGCACCTGCCAATTGCCTGGTCAAGTTAGATGCTGCGTATCACAGTGCACTGAGATTTGTGACAAACTGTAAAGCATTAACCCATCACTGTACCCTGTATGCAAGGGCTGGTCTGCCTTCACTAACTGCACGGAGGCTCAGTCACTGGTACATTTTTATATATAAAGCCATGTTAGGGAAACTTCCATCCTACATCTGCTCCCTGATCTCACGGCGAATTGTAAGTGGCTACTGCCTGAGATCGCATGCTGTGGTTTTATTAAATGTGCCAACTGCTAGGACTGTCTTAGGGAAGATAGCATTTAGATGTGCAGCTCCACTGTCCTGGAATAGTCTGCAATTAAAATGGAAACTGAGCAATCTGGTGCCACTAAATGTTTTTAAAGCTCGGTTGGATGCTACTGAATCGGAAGCTGTTGGTACCTGTGCATGTGGATAGTTATGTAAATTGTAATCCCTGTAATGCTAATGTATGATGTCCTTTTGTTGTTCTGTTTATGTTTTTAATGTTTCATGTGGAACCTACTTGAGCAGGTCTCCCTTGAAAAAGAGGTCAATGATCTCAATGGGATACACCTGGATAAATAAAGGTTTGAAATGAAATGAAATGAAGGTACTGTACACTTTACTGTAAAAGCCAAAAGAGAAGTTCAGTTCCTGCTCAGTTTTTAAATGGGTAAGACACCGATATCAGTCACAATCAATCATTGTAGGTGCTTCCTGACGTTTCGTTTCTCTAATGCCTGTTTATAAGAATAAAAAAAAAAGGGAAAATTATCCCGACATTTAGATAATTATGGTGAAACAAGAGTGATGTGCAGGTCCATGAAACACAGCTACACCTGATGTAACATGCTCACACTGCATTCATCCATTTGTGATACAGCTGTATGTTGTAGAAGTTAAAGGGGACCTATCATGCAAAATGCACTTTTGTACGTCTTTTATACATGAATATGTGTCCCCGGTGTTCCAGGGAACTCACCAAGTGTCAGAAAACACAACCCTCTCTATTTTCCTCCATACCCAAATCTCTAAAAAAGGGGCTGCAACGGATCTGATAAAAACTGATCCAGATTTGAACACGTTACTGACGTCAGGACGGTGGCGCTACAGCTATTGGGCCAACTCTCCACCTATCAGGGGAATGTGGGGTTGGGCCACGGCCGGCCATTGCCGCTCGAAAGTGCTGGAGATGCTGTAGTACATATGCCAGGCCTGTAAGTGGCGCTGTAGTCTGCCACAAAAGCAGCGAAGAAGACTTCCTGCGCATAGTTACCATGGTTACCCTTCTGTTTATTCTCCGCTGTGGCTTTTTTTCTCCCTCCCCCGAGGCAAGCGTTTGCTCCTGCTGCTGTAATTCAATGCAATCCCTCCCCGTCGAGGCAAGCACTGTAATTCTCTCCGGTTAGTCCACCAGCAGATGACAAACACCCACCTCTCCGCCTCTTCCAAGGAACGAGGGGACCGTGCGGCAGAGTTTCAGTTAGGTTTTCTTTCGCCGGTCAAGATGTCCGTTAAAGTTTAAATCTTCCGGACAAAATTAGAAAAGTGCCGGTCAAAGGTCTTCTTTGTTATTTATTGAGCTTTAAAACAAATGAATAACGACTCTATATAATAATAGGCTATAATAAAACATGGAGGACGGAGATCTATTTTTCTCCCCCTCTTCTGACAGCCCAGCAGCTGATCAGAGCACGCTCCCCTCTCCTGCAGGGGGGCGTGGTCAGCTGCAGCTCACAGAATCAGCCCCCTGCAAAAACAGGGCTGGAGAACAGCAAATAGAGCGAAATGAGGCATGGCTTAAAATCATGATCTGTTTGGTATTTTGAAAACAGAAACGTATAAATATACCTTATATAGGTATGGCCCTACAATATATCATTTAAATATAGCATGATAGGTCCACTTTAAAGTCACTTTTAAGGTCAGTCAGAATCAGAATTACTGCACTTAAAAGATCTCTTTCTTCAGACATTCTACTTTCAAATAGTTTGACAATTTGAGAGAGCATAAAGACTGGAAATGGCAGAAACGAGGAGAGGAAAACATGCTTATTTGGATAGCCAGGAGTCACTCTACTGTGGCTAGTAAATGTGCTAAGACTGCTTGGGGTAACACATGTATAGAGGAGGGGTAACATTAACATCTCTAGGGATCATGCTGTAGCTTTCATGTGGCATTTGAATACGGACACATTGCATCACCTGTCTGACTGACACACTCTTAAGTTGGTTATGTGCTTGGGTCATTCTTGGCCGGGGAAATGTGCCATGCAATCATTAGAGAGAGCTTTTCTGCTGTTACTGCTACTCCGCTCCAACTAACGCCTAAACCAGAAACTCCAGAATTGACGTGGACATCTTAGACTCGGACCACAGCTGTAGACAATCTTTAGGCTAGTTTTTAACTCAACACTTCCAGGTTGCGGTCGAATAGTCCATTGAGCTTAGGAACCTTCCTAACGGAGTGAAATGACCCGGAAGTCCCTCAGTGGCAGCCATGATAAGTGCCGTTCGAATTCTCTAAATGAAAGGAAAGGAGGTTTCAAACTTCCTTTATAACCTCCTTTAGCTTAGGAACCACTGGACCTCCCTAACCGAAAGGAGAGGAGAAAATGCTGCCCCACAATGCCTTGCGGCCGCGGCATTTGCCGTCACACAACAGTCGGCCGTTTACGGAAACAACCGATTTTGAACGAGAAATGATATCATGAAAGTTACGGTGCTTATTAAGCATTTTAAAACGTATGTGGTAAGTTGCCAAAGTGCTTTGTTTTGAACGTTCATCAGTATTATAATCAAAAAGAGAAATATGAACGTTAGTTTTTACTGAAATGATCAAATAAAGTCAACATTTCACAGTCTTTACTGAGCTGTGTGGGGTTTGTTCAACTTTTAAAATATGTTTGAATGGTGATATACACAGTGATCGATGTTAAGGACTAACGTTTATAATAAATACATTTGTATTGATTTTAAGATCTTTTCATACAATCATACGTATTGGGATCATTTGTATTAATGTGGACCGGAGGGAGAGGGTGACGAGCATAAGTTTCACTTTCCTTTTTTATTTCAATTCCAACTTTGGTCATGAAGAATATGTTTCTCTGTTGTCCCCGTTCATAAAGCATAAAACAACAGCATCAGAGCACGGTGCAGAGTCTCTAGATGAGTTTACAGTAGTCCCTCGTTCTTATTAAACATCCATGTTGTAGTCCGCTGTATAGAAAACTGTAGTTTCCATAGTTTCCCCACAGCAGCAGACGCACATTTATGACCTCCGCTGGCGCATCATAAACACGTCGGATAGTGAAAGTGCAGTCGGATTCTCTAAAGTGCCGCAGTCTCTTCTCCTAAATCCTTTTGAATTCTCCTATCCACTATCCCTTAACCCCATGACGTTTCACTCAGAGGTCAAGGAATAGACGATAGGGTTAGAACTTAGGAGCTGATTTTTGGACTATTCGACCGCAACCCCAGACTTGTGTCAAATCCTTGAACAAATACAGCATTTATCCACACATGAACAGGACTGTGCTATACAGAAGATACTTCAGGGTGTGGTTTTGGTCACAAGCTACAAAATGGTAAACTGTGTGACTGAAAAAAAGGTGTATGGAGTAAAGATACTGAGGTGGTCAGTACTCCTCCTCCTGCTCCTGCTCGTCCTCCTCCTCCTCCTCCTCACCTGTGCCATTGACAGGACAGGGGTGCACCTCACAGTTGTCCCCCCACCCAGCTCCCAGGGTGCAACAGCACTCCTGCAGGGTGACGTGGCTGGTCAGCACGTTCTCACACAGATTCTCATTGTTTAGATTGTAGTAGCACTCCTTACGCTCCACTGAGGAAACTGGGGGGGGGGGGGGGGGGGGGGGGAGACAAGATAAAGGGATGAGTATCAAACACATTTTATTTAAATGTCATATTTTTCAGAACTGGGGTCTGTTCAGTTCCCATTTCCTGAAACATTCACTGAACTGAACTGAGTTCAGGCTTCAGCTGTCATTCATGGTCCGTTTATTCATTTTATTATTACTGTAATGGTTCCATTTCAAATTAAATCATGGTCCCTTTTCAAGTCAGGTACAAATGTGGGTGTTTGGTTAGAACATATCATTGTTTTTTAAATCAGATTGTCTTCGGTTCTTTGTAAATATAATGTGGAAATTAACTGCATTTTATACACATTTTAGAATTTGTGTAGTTGTGTAATGAATGAAAAACGTGGGTCACAGGTTACTCAACAATGCAATTACAAGACATAAAAATAATAATAATAATAATAATAAGAATAAAAATAGTGCAAGCATTTCATTGTTCATTATAAGATGTATTAAATTAATTAAAAAGGTAGTAGTTTTTAGTGGTGGAAAGTAACTAAGTACATTTATTGAAGTATTTACTTAAGTACTGTTTGAAGTATTTGTACTTTACTTGAGTGTTTCCATTTATTTCTACTTTATACTTCTACTCCACAACGAATCTACATTGTATTTGAATGATCTAGAACACAACATTATATTAACCATAATAATACCCTACTGTGAAAAGATCCATTCTGCATACTGAGTACTTTTACTTTTTGTACTTTAAGCACATTTTGATGCTAGTACTTTTGTTCCTTTACCTGTGTAACATTTTGAAATCAGGAGGTTAATAACCTTACATTTATAAATAACTTGATTATGTTGCTTGTGTGTATGAAGCATTATAAATACTGTACACGAGTCAAGAACTCAGTAGCAAGCTCCAGAATAAGAACTAAATGAATTGGCTATCAATAGTATTAAAAAAAGTATTCAAAGTCAGTATTAAAAACTGTTATAAACTCTGATGTCTGCAGGTTCATTTGTACTACAGTGGAGGGGGGGTCACCTGTGGGAACGGGCTCACACTTGGCGATCATCACATTGTAGTCCTGTCCGCTGGGACACTCGCAGTGGAAGGATCCGTCAGTGTTCTTACACTGGGCCTCTCCACACACACTGCTCAGCAGCTCACACTCATTCACATCTGAGGAGGAACAGAAAAACAATCCATACATGTTGTTCATTATACAGGTCATTAGCCTCTTAACAATCAAGACATAATACGATTGTACATCATCAACTCAATCAAAGTGTGGACAAGAGGTGGGGAAGTTCAGTCTATGTTGCCAACAGGAGGACATACTTTAGGTAAATTACAATATAGCTACACAGCTAGGGAGAATTAAGAAATAGAAGTACAAGAAAAGAAAAGAAACAAATAATGGCAGATGAGAGGAGAGGAACAGCTGGAAGGAAGGAAGACAGAGAGACACCGCAAATTCTATATGGTTAGTGGTACACCACCACTCTTGATTTAAAAAGTGTGTGTGTGTGTGTGTGTGTGTGTGTGTGTGTGTGTGTGTGTGTGTGTGTGTGTGTGTGTGTGTGTGTGTGTGTGTGTGTGTGTGCAGTGATGGTTTGGCAGTGTAGTGCACACACTGTATTGAGATGTGTTCTTAAGAGTGTGCTGCTAGTTTTGATTGTTTGTGTTTTGGGGGGTTGTGACAGCCAAGATGTGTGTGGGGGAAGTTTTATATCAGACTGCAGCAGGAGGGTGCTCTGACAGTCCTATGGTTAGGGCTCGGAAGGAAAATGCGGGGGCCAAGTTAGCCCTGGGAAACCACCAGCACCCTGCAGCTCAGACTCATTCCAAACCAAACTCCAGGAATTTTCAACAGTTCAATTTATTCCTCATTGGGATAGTGTCTGCAAACCTTAACAATGTTGCTTTCAAAGATGATCTGAGAAACAACAAAGCGTGTCTCAGGGTCATTCTGCAATCCTGTGTTGGGCCTTTACTTCAAGTAGAAAGAAATGTAGGCCTTTGTTTGAGAATGTTTCAGTATAATTGGACTTTTATAAACATAAATTATTCCCAGACTGTATGAAAATACAGTCATTTCAATACAATGTCATTTGTCTTTTAAAAATGTTACATTTCTTAAATGTTGACACTGGAGCTTTTGGTCAATTTTTCTAAGAAGGTTATAGCTCAAGTTGAAGTCATCAAAGGACATACGGTTGTTCCTATTGTTTAGTAGAAGCCTGACACAACACTAAAATGGCAACTGAAAAGTGAACATTGAAACAACTTGAGGTAAAAGTTAATTCACATCTCTAGCACAGTGTACAGTATGTGGTCATGATAAAACACACTGTCTGGTTCCTATTCACATTGACTTTCTTTAAAAATGAACTAAGAGTAGTTCTATTCTGTTCTCCCTGTGTCTGGTCTTCCTTCCTGTGTTTGCCCTCCTGTGTCTGATTGTCTCATTGTGTTCACCTGTTGCCCTTGTGTTTCTGCCTCCCCTGCCCAGCTGTGTCTTGTCCTGTGATTACCCTTCTGTGTATTTAGTCTTGTCTTCCCCTGTGCTCCATGTCGGATCGTCATCTTTTTTCAAGTCCTTGTTACCTGTTCGTCTTTGTCCTAGTTACCTGTTCGTCTTTGTCCTAGTTACCTGCCCATGCTTGTAAGTTTGTTCATGTCTGTCTTTTTCCTCGGTCTTGTTAATGTTTAGTTGTTTCTTGTTTTTTCGGCTTTTTAATAAAGCTCGCTTTTTGTTACCTGACCTTTTTGTCTTTTTAAACTGCATTTGGGTCCTGATATTCCCCATCCCTGACAGATACCTTGTAGATTTGAGTGTTTTAGCAATTGCTGTGCTGCCTCATCAGGACAAAGGTGGGGAAATCCAATTCCCCTGACGGACAGAGGTCTCTGCCACACTTTAATACATTTAATATGAATAATAATGTTCTTTTGTGTCATAAAGAGCTTACAACAACCTACTATTGGACTTCAAACCAACCACATACTATGGATATCATTAAGAAACTGTAGGGATATGGGCTTGTGTAACCGTCACACATTTTAATTGACACAGAGACACTACAACCACAGCTGGAGCTCATTTCCACTGTGGCAGTGCGCCCCCCAGACCAGCTGTAGGTCACAGGGTCTGGGTGAGGGGCTGGGTGAGGGGCTGTGAAGCTACCAGATGGAGTTGCATGCCCTTACTACTTTATAAGCTATCATACAGGAACGTCTTTAGTCTACTCTTAAAATGGAGAGTACCTCCCAAATCCCTCCACAAACAGGAAGCTGGTCTACAGAAGCTGAAGGCTCTGTACTTTTGGAGACTCTTATCACTAATAACCCAGCATTCTGGGAACCTAGTGGGGTTTTAGGCTACGATGAGCTATTTAAGGTACGATGGTGCCTGAACATTAAGGACTTTGTAAGCTAGGAGAAGGATTTGAATCTGTTTTCTGTATTGTATAGGGAGTATGTGCAGAGATGCTAATACAGGAGTAATATGATCTCTTTCCTAGATCTTATCAATTCATGTTCCGCAGAATTTGTAATCAACTCTGTCATGATCTCGGTTAGTATGTAATATTTCCTGTTTTATTTTGAAATATAATTTCTCTCTTTGTCTTGTCTGGTTAACTTCCTGTCTGTGCTTTTTGCTGCCTTTGTAACCTGCCTTGATTCTTTCCACCTGTGTGTGACCCCCCTGCTGCCCGCGTGTCTGTACATGCCCTCAGCTGGGTCTTATGTAATTAGTCTGTCAATATATGCCTAAGTGTCCGTTGTCAGTCTTTGGGTGTTTCTCAATGTCGAGGACGCTTCCTTGGTAGGACATGTCTTCCGAGTCAGGTCTTTCAGAAGCGAGGCAAGAATCCTTCCTAGCCTCGGAAAACAAAGAATGGTGGAACAGGCTAACAGGTGTGCAGGTGTGCGTCATATGAGAGGCCCTGCCTTAAATGCAGCGCGATTTCCGCCAAAGATTTTGGAAATTGGTCCGTGCGCAAAGCATTGTGGGGATTTTAAGACCGCGGAGGATACACATGTGCAGCCTCGAAATTTCCCGCAACGAAGGACGCCGGCCTCGGTAGAATTCCAAGCATCCTGGACATTGGAACAGTCCTTCGGCAGGACTCAATGACGTAGCATCCTTGAAATAGTGGCTCTGGAGCAGCCTTCCTCGACATTGAGAAACACCAAGAGTTTCCATCTGGTTCCTGGTTCCCTGTGTTCCTGTCAACGTTCCTTCCCTTGTTCTTCGAGCTCCCTGGACTGTTTTTCTTTTCTTGTTTTCCTCTACGGTGCCTGGTTCCTCTGTTTTTGTGTGAAACTGCTTATGTTTATCAGCTTTTGGTTATAAATACCTGCCGTCCTCTTTTTTACTGCTTTTGGGTCCATGGATGGTGCCACACCCTGACAAACTGAGTCTAAATGGATGTTTTTGGACAGGCGGATAGTGAGGAATTGCAATAATCTAGCCTTAAAGTAATAAATACAATATATTACAATACTCCTATCTGAATGTACATACACAGAGAGGTCCACACTCACCCACACAGCCCTGGCCCCCCGGGGCCTCCTGGTAGCCCTGCTCACAGAGGCAGCGGAAAGACCCCAACCGGTTCTCACAGAAGCCGTGAGGGCCACACAGAGTGTCGTTGAGCCCACACTCATCGATATCTGAAGAGCAGAGAAACACGGCCAACACATGTCAAATGCTTTGTTTCATTCCTTTTAGGTATCCTGATAGTCTTGTTGTTCTTATATATTCCTTCTTATTGAAGACGTGACATTAACGGATACATGTGCCCCACACACACACACACACACACACACACACACACACACACACACACACACACACACACACACACACACACACACACACACACACACACACACACACACACACACACACACACACACACACACACACACACACACACACACACACACACACACACACACACACACACACCCCTCCTCGTCTAGACAGCCAGCTCAAAGGCTTCCGTCTGTTTCTTCTCCTCTCTTTTCTCTCCATTTTCTTTGCAGGCAGGAAATGGCATTAAACAGCTCTGGCACAGGGGCCAGGTCTGCTGTCATCCTGCAGAAAATATGAGCAGCATGCTATATGTGAAAGAACTTGAAGACTTGTTTCATAAAAGGCAGAAATGAAGGGACGTGCTAGATGCAGACTATGTTAAAAGAAGAAAGGAAGGCACTTTCTGTGTTTTGTGGTTGTACATTGTGAAAAGGTAATGTGTGGTATATTTATTAAGGCATTTTATAAGATGGAATATTCATCAAAATGTGTGAAAAAGAAAAGAAAAGTCCTTTAAACTGAGATAAATGACACAAATAAACCCTCTTCTTGCAGTGAGAAAATGAATCATTCTCACTTATACAAGCCACATATTCGTACTGTAGGACAAGATTGTTACACAGTGCGTCATCACAATGGCAATAATGACATTTGTATTATGTTCACTATTTTTGTTTAGCCTGTTAGCATGGTTACATGTATCCCTACCTGCAGTAGGAATGGCTTTCGTTTTTTCTCATAACTTGAGGATAATACTGCATTCAAATTCAGAGGATTAACAATGTTATCAAGAAATATTTTGTGGAGACAATTAATGTTTATACCAAATTGTATAGTGACAACAGTTGTTTAGACATTTCACTAAAAAACACCAATTCCAAACTCATTGTGTAAAAAATGAATAGTTAGGGGATCACTAGAGTGCTTAGGGTTAATCCTCTGTGAATGAATGTACCACACTTTATGACAATCTATGACACAAATCAATGAGCTACCCTGTTGAACTGGGTGGCATGTTCCTTCATTACAATGAACAAAGACTAGTACATTTTGACTCAATCCCACATAATCTTTCCCTCCCCCACAAATACTCACTACAGCACCACATGTGGAATAATCTCCCAAACAAATGCACTGCATCTCCTGTTTGATTACAGTTTGATTAAAACTGCAGTGGCCAGCTTTAAAGGCAAATAAGAAAGTTAAGTAGAAAATGACTTGCATCTGAGTGCCACGTGCAGCAGTGAACACTGAAAGACACATTGTTGGGTTTGATCTTTTCAAGGGGTTTGTTGAAAAAATAAATATAGAATTACATAATTGAAGACATGTGTGCTACTGAATGATCATTACTTTTGGTCAGCATCAACATGTTAACGATTTAAGCACGTGTGTCTACTGCAGTAATATTTTGTTGAATCCACTACATTTCCTCATTAATGAAAATACACAGGAGAAGCTCTGTGTGTGTGTGTGTGTGTGTGTGTGTGTGTGTGTGTGTGTGTGTGTGTGTGTGTGTGTGTGTGTGTGTGTGTGTGTGTGTGTGTGTGTGTGTGTGTGTGTGTGTGTGTGTGTGTGTGCGCATGTTTGTTTTTTATCTTTTCTTTTGTAGTAGCATCTTACCGTCACAGGAGGGCGTGTGGATGCTGGCACTGAACCCGCTCTCACACACACACAGATAGGACCCCTCTGTGTTGAGACACTCCGCGTGGGGGGAGCAGAGCTCTGGTTCATCCACACACTCATCAACATCTGGAAGCATAGAGACCAAAGACACTGAGAGGTGTGGGTGTTTGTGTGTGTTTGTTTATCCTTCCAAGCAGCAGTATACACACAGTAACATCTGAATCCAGGGGGGTAGACTACAAAACACAGCCAGGCTTTCTCAGCTGGCTGGACAAAACTAAAACTCCTGATCAGAGATAACAGGTACTACAAAGCTGGTTATCAACTGTGTTCTCAGGCTCTCCTCTTCTTTTTGTGCTGGGTTTGGTGCATCATCATACTCATGAACCGCATGGAAGCTATCAATTGCCGCCTATTTACGCCATATAAGAATTACAAAAAAAATCACATCATAAGTGAACCTGTTACTTCAAATAAAAGAGGAAATTGGAAGAAATGTACTAACCGTGTACATTCAAGAAACATTTATTTAATTGACCACTCGATGCAATCTGTGCCCTCTGTTTATTTCTAACTGCCATCCTACGGCTCCTGATCTTTAAATGTCTCACCTGAGCAGCGGGTGCCGTTGACCTGCCGGTACCCCCGGGGGCAGGAGCAGGTGTAGGACCCCATGTTGTTCACACACTCCCCCCCGGACTCACAGGGCCGGGCTTCTTCTAAACACTCATCCACATCTGGAAAACACACATATCATGTTGTGAGTGTTGTTTTCAGGTTGAAATTCTTTAAGCTCTAAATATTATACCGTATATAATAAGATCATAAGAAAGGATGTTTTGATTATGGGGACCAATGAAGTCTGGACAAATGACTTCAATTACCTGTTATTACATTTTAGTATGGAGGACCACAAGTGTCACTGAAATGGTTATAAAACATTCTAATAACTAATATATTGCTATTGGACAATAAAAGCAGTGGGAAATTGATAGAAAATACCAAAAAGCCTGATATAAAACTGAAACCTAAATTAAATCTGAGAATTCAGTTATCTCTGCATTTTTTTGTGTTTTTTAATAATTCTCACATATTTTGAATTGTATGTAAGTTAATCACCCATTAATATAGCTATACGATTAATCTGTAAAATATTGTAATAATTATTGATTTATGTATCAATTGATTCAATATTTATCAGCTTTTATTATTTAATTTGATATCAAATACATTTCATATGGAAGAAAAAGCGCAGTTGGTGCAATCACGTGTACCTTGTCAGTTAAAATCACAGACTTTGAGAAATAATACTAATATAAATATGTATTATTATTAACTGTTCTATTGCTTAATGAGTTCCATCTTACACATTTTTAGTTTTGTCCTTAAAATGTTGTTGGAACTACACTTCATACCATCACAATCGTCTCCAGCCAAAGACCCTCTGAAGCCGGGGCCACAGTGGCAGAGGAAGGACCCCTCGGTGTTCTGGCAGTGGCCCCGGGTGCAGGTCCGCTGGTCCTGGCACTCATCTAGATCTGGAGAACACAAACAACAGAACAAGTTTATCACATGAGCAGAAAGCAAAGGATGTTCATTCGGTAGATATATAATGTGCTCAAAGCAGTACAGAAAGTTCTATTAGTATATTAATAGAAGTTGGTTGCTGTAAATACAATTTGAAAAAACCCCAAAGAGGACTTGTACAACAACAGACTGCAACGTGTTCTCAAACCCCCAGTGCTGTGGTTCATAGTGTAAATGCTAGACAGGGCAGAGATAATCTAACTAAATGCTAACTTATGTATGCTAAATAGGTAAGCACTTCAGATAAACACAGGCAGAAAAATGAGCGTCACATATTTAAATTGTTCAATATTATCTTGATATACAATGGCAGTATTGAGGTGCCTTACAATTCAAACATGGCACATAAATCCACTGTAGAGTAAAGATGGAACCATAACTACTTGTTCCAGATCCATAAGTTGCATAGGCTCTAGGGTAAATCTGAAAATGTGCTCAAGTGTTTGTGTGGCATGAAAAATATATAAACCCAGAGAGTAATGTCTCCAGTTTGATCAAGTTTCAGAGGGAGAGGCATGAACAAAACGTTCCTAAAAAAGTCCTTTTGGTAGAACAAGTAAAAAGGTTTTGAATGGTAAAGCCACCATGTCATTCATGGAAACGCTGCCCAGACTTAATGCTAGTTTATGAGGTAACAACTCCTTTTTATGGCACTTGATATTTGCAGTTATTACACAGTTCATATTTATAGGGTTATTCTGAGCAGCAGAGTCTGTGACCAACAGCTGAATCCCTGAGGCTTAACGTGAGTCTGTGATGACTCCAGCTCTGCAGCAGGTTCCAGCTGAAGGAGGACTCAGAGTCACCATTGGGTGGTGGAAATCCTCATTTTAGTAGCTTTTATTTTCTGTAATTAATGATAAATTGAAATTAATTATTTTTATTTCTTAAAGGAGGACTAAGAATTAAAAACAAAGTGCAGACTAAAACTTGACTACCTTAGCAGATGTAAATGAAATGGAAACCTCCTATTCAAGAGCATAATAATAGGTTTGCTTTTAGTTTTTTTGTGGCTTTTCTTGTAGAGTGTTCTATAGGTTTTAGTGCATGTAAATGGTCTGCAAAGGCTAACATCTGTGTGTTCCCTCCAGAGGGAGTTTCTCTCCCACACACTCCTCCCCCCTAGCCTGAAACGCCTCCATTCGACTCCTGTGTTAGTGTGTTTACATCCGGAACAAAGTGACATCACTACATAACACTAGCTAGCGCTCCAACATATTTAACGTGATAGGCTAAGGGCGGGACATCTCTAAGCGATTGACCAATCACAACAGCGCCGGCCAGCTAACCAATCAGAGCTTGAAGAATGGAGACATGTCCCAGTAGAGGCACTACATACTATTGTGAACCTGAAGATGATCAGAATATGTCCTCTTTCAGATTTATTCCAAGTCAAGAAATAAAGACAAATCATAATGGCGGTATGAGGTCTGCGAATAAAAAAAGAAAAAAAAAGAAGCCAATGCTGTACTATAGAGTTAACTTTATTATAATAAATCCAGGACAGGAGAACAAGAAGCCCCTTTGTGACTGGCATAAGCATGTTTTGGAACTACTTTAGATTCATTTAAACACACACACGCACACACACACACACACACACACACACACACACACACACACACACACACACACACACACACACACACACACACACACACACACACACACACACACACACACACACACACACACACACACACACACACACACACACACACACACACACACACACACACACACACACACACACACACACAGTGAGATGCTTGACATTACCCTCAGTTTGGCAGTTTCATGTGAACATCTGTGAGCGGGGGTTATTACCTTCTAAAAAGGACTGCATGGCGTAATTATTCCCTCCTTCACCAACCACCACTCCCTGCCACCCTCCTGAGGCTGGTGCATGGTGTGTGAACAGTCAGAACCTCACAGCTAACCATATGTCACATGGGACACAGAGCAGCTAACTACTGAAGAGGAGGGATGGGGACACCTTCCAGGAAAATATGGGCCCATTCTACATGTTCTTTGGAATGGTTTATTAGTTGAATTGCTTGATTGGCACAGTATTTTATTCTGAATTTGTTTCCTGGGCTGATTTCTGCATGTGTTGACGGCTAGACATTACTCACCATGGGGTTAGGATATAATGTAATCTTGGAATGGTGCAATAAATTCAAAGCTTTACTTTCAGAGCAGTTAAAACGAAACCACATGGGCGTTCAGATTGACCTGGCTACCCATGTCAATTGCTTCATCTAAAAAATGCAGCTCAATTTAAAAGTAGCAGTAGACCATTGGTATGTTTTCAAATACAGGGCAGCTTGGATCCCCTGAAGGAGGCATTACAGAACATCCCAGAAAGCCTCACTTAAGAGCTTTACGAGAACTCTAAAACACTGCATGACTGTTAAATGTTGTTGTGAAACTTTTATAAACTGTTGTTTTTCTTTCACATGTGTTTTAACCCTATAACTGGTTGTTGAAAACATTTGATGCAGATGTTATAATAAGAGTAGCTAAGCAGCTTTAAGGAATAGCTCATTGTAAGATTACTGTAACAATTAAATCGTTTTTTCAAACCTTTCAAAGTTAGGACTAATTCCGTGACTTTTTTCAGGCCTAGAAAACGGGCCGAAGAAAAGTATTGCTTAAGGAAACTTAAGAAAGCAAAATGTCTGTTATTTTTTACAGAGGAGCAATAGAAAGCATCCTGACTGAAAACCGTACAAACTGTCATGGTCAGGAGAGTTCTGCAGGGGTAGACTAAAAATCTTACCAGAACATAATTGGTACACATCAACCAGGCAGTCAGTGTCAGTGATATCGGTGGAGTGAGGGGCTGCACAGAGCCCACTGGAGAAGGCCAATATCAAACCAGCCACAGCCTGTTCACGTTGCTTCGTCTGCAGCAATACAGCAGTATTCGCTGTCATACTGTACCATATTGTTTTTAGCTTAAAGGAACTTGAACTTTTGTTTTGGAACGACAATAAACTGATGATGATAAAATGATATGCTGCTGTATGTCTAAGCTTCCGTTTTCATTCTGCACGACTGTAGTGAATATTTTTATCTCCAGCTGTCTGATGCATTTCTGCCGTTAAACCTGCAGCTTTGACTGAATGGTGGTTTTCACCCCATCAAAAGTACATATTTAAATAGCATCAGTGCAGAGTCAAATATGTATGGTAGGAAAGTGGTTGACGTTGAACCAGATGGTAATGATGTTTTCAGGATTCCAAAAAATGTCTGAAACTCCTACTCGTACTGAGCGTGCTTTTGTATCGATCGTATTAATAGATATCTCGATTGCAATATCCATCATTATAAAACTCTTAAAGTCATAATCTGATCCCTCATCCTCCGCAGTTGAGAAGAAGACATTTTAATCGAGCTCTGGGGAAAGGGGAAAGGCCTGTTTGCTCTCAGACCGTAATTCAGTATTATTTTGGTGGGTGGGGAAAGCTACTGTACGTTGGAATGGCAGGAAACCGCTTAATGACAGAGTGCCTTGAATTTATATCCCAATAAGTGGGACAAACCAGGGAGGAGGTTGTGCAAACGCTCATAACGGTGTGGTCAGCGGCTCCTCCAAGATTCCACTGACTTATAATTCTATTAGTGTGCGCTTGTTAGTGTGCAGAGCTTATGTTTCACCAGGTGTTTGACCAAGGTCTGACCACACAGGCTGTGGCTGTGCGGGGCTCACAGAGTGTCCTCATGCTTGATGCTGCATCTAGTTTTGACATGACATGTGCATGTTTGTGCTAATCCTAGCAGAGGGACTGAAGCGGTCAATCTCGAGTGGTGGATTGAATACACATTTTTGTAGACCGACACGAAAATTAGCATTGCAACGGGATTTTTGCACTGGATTTTAGAATATTGCAGAAAATTAGCTCTGTGGCAAACACACATTTATTATACTAACACATTTTGTTCAGCGGGATAAACTCCACACAATAACACCACTTTGTTATTTATGAATCGCCAGAAGTAAAAAGCTAACGCTAAGCTGCATACGCGATAAAAAGGCTCTGTGCTGGCATTGTGTTTCTGAGGAGAGAACCATTTAGCCTGACTAGGCGTAAGCGCTACCCTCGGCGTCGCCATCAAATTACTCAAACTTTGACGTAGTTACGGCTGACCTTTGGAAGTGCAACCAATCAGAAAACAGCTGTACGTAGAGGCGCAAGCCAGCAGAGTAGGTAACCATAGGAACGAAACACAACTAGCTGTTTTAAAGGCTCATTATTTTATCATCTCATGAACATTGTAAAAGTATTGGGGCTAGTATTGTTTCTATTTTGTGTATGTACAATGATGTAAGAGAAAGAGAGAAAAGTAGTGTGCATATAAAATAGTCTTTCAAAGAAGCATCAAAATATACTTTTGCATGAGTTGAGGGCTCTTACCTAAACAACTAGTCCCCTCTTCATCCACGAGGAATCCCTCCGGACACACACACAGGAAACTGCCCTCTGTGTTCTCGCAGCGACCGCCAACACAAGAGGGCGGGCTCTCCAAACACTCATCTACATCTGATCAGAGCACACAACATGGGATAAAATCAGTACACAACTGAATAATCAATGCCTTAAAGACGTTTATCTCCATAATTGTAACAAAAAGTATACATTCATACATTAAAATCAAATGTCTAAATTATACTATTTGTAATACAGAGATAAACCTGTGGATGGGGAGATACTTTACTTACCCAACAGAAGAAGGTGTTATAATAATCAATGAGTTGAACTTACAGGAAACTCCATATTCCTTCTGATTTGCTGAATGCTGGCTTAGAAGAAATGTAGATAATGTTCATACTAACGACTCTTTGTGTCGAAAGTAGAGTTATTAGGTCCAATACAACATAGCTCTGAGCTTCAGGTAAAATCACTGTGCTCCGCTCCCATCCACCACTGCATTCAAAACGTGTTATTATCCAGCCCAACTTGCATAAATTGACATGGACATGCGCCAGATGACCTTTGACCTCAGTGACTTGCTTCGCAAACTGTAACCTCACCTACACAGGTGGTTTGGGCGTCATCCAGGTGGTACCCCTCATCACAGTGGCAGGTGTATCCCTCCGCTGTGTTGTAGCAGATCCCCTGGCCACAGATGAAAGGGCTGATCTGGCACTCGTCTACCTCTGAGGCAGGAGAGAGGCAGAGCAGAGGATTAATACAGCAGCAGGGTAACAACTAATAACCTATCCCTCAAAACACTACACAGAGCCTAGGGAAGCAAAACATACCCATCATGTACCACAATTTAGCTGCTTAATAGAAAACACCATGTACTATTAATAATGTGACACCTTGGTTTCATGTATTGATCATTGTCATGACACTTTAACAAAGCCAACCAGTTTCCATGTTTTCCTTTATTTAAAGGGGACCTATCATGCAAAATGCACTTTTGTACGTCTTTTATACATGAATATGTGTCCCCGGTGTGTCAGGGAACTCACCAAGTGTCAGAAAACACAACCCTCTCTCTTTTCCTCCATACCCAAATCTCTAAAAACGGGGCTGCAACGGAGCTGATCCAGATTTGAAATTGTTCTGACGTCAGAAACGGGGAGCTCCACCTAAATGGGCAACTCTCCACCTATCAGGGGAATAGGGGGTTGGGCCACGGCCATTGCCGCTCGAAAGCGCTGGAGACGCTGTAGTACATATGCCAGGCCTGTAAGTGGCGCTGTAGTCTGCCACAAAAGCAGCGAAGAAGACTTCTCACAGAATCAGCCTTTGCAAAAACAGGGCTGGAAAAGAGCAAATAGATCGAAATGAGGCATGGCTAAAATGCATGATCTGTTTGGTATTTTGAAAAAAAAACTTCACAGACATGTTTTATATAGGTATGGCCCTACAATATATTATTCAAATATAGCATGATAGGTCCACTTTAAGCTGGCTTCTCACAGCCTCAAGTTGAACTTTTATGAACTTTAACCTAAACATGTATAGAACAGAGGAAACAGAGGGCAAAATAATACGTTTTTTTCCTGATTTATAACTTTAGCGATTAGCTCGCAAGCTGAAGTAGTTAAACTGAGATTCAGCCACCATCTAGTTCATGACGACACATGGATACATGGTGCTTCATTCTCTTAGACCAAGTCTCGATGAGTAAATCTGTATTGAGACATAGATTACCAATATTGAACTTCATATAATACTTCCATCCATCAATCAAATCCATCAGATGATGATGAAAGTCCCAAAAATAGCTAAAGCTAAGATTTTTGTTAAACTGCTAAATATTAACACATACAAATGACTTAAAGGTCACCTATTATGCAAAATCCACTTTTTCACGTCTTTTATACATCAACATGTGTCCCCTCTGTGTAAAGAGATTCTGAAAGTTTCAGGAAAAAAGATTCGCTCACTTTTTGTCCTGATCCATTTATATAAAAACTGAAAATGAGCTGATCAGATTTTGGCCACTTTATGATGTCATAACGATTTTTTGGCTTGTGTAACCATTAGCCAATCACCAACCAAGGTAACCCCCCCCTCCCCCCCACACCTTATCACCTGAATCTCCTCCTAGAGCACCATTGTGTTCTTTTTAACCAAATCTCTCAGAGGGGCGTGGGGAGTGGCTCCTTATTTTCAAAGTAACAGACAGAGAATCAGCACTTTTGAAACAGGGCTGAAACAGAGGGGATTATGGGATTCTGCAATGATCTGTTTGGTATTTCGAGCCAAACACTTCAGAGACATGTTTTGTACATATCTGAGACCTATAATATATTGATGAAAAACAGTATAATAGGGGACCTTTAAAATGAACCCTAAAGAATAAAGAAGAGACGGTAGAGAACAACTAGCGTAGCTTATTTGGAAAGGAAGAAATATGGCTACCAACAACTTCTGTCATTTGAACGAGGCTATTGGTACACCAACATTTGCTAACTGTAACACTATCACAGAATGAATGATGGAGTTTTCTCCTTAGATGTGGTCATATTGCTAAATATATCAGAGTCCTGCAGCAGAGGAGACAGAGGAATCTGTGTGTCAATTATTCTTATAAAACCTTTTTAGCCAGTGACCTGTCAGGAACTCAGTGAGACTCGGGACACACCAAGGACACGAGTGGTTCAGATATGTGTGTGTACAACCTCCAAGTATAGCTCATTTTATATATACCTTTTTAAGTGGGTGGCTCAGCTGTCACCTGTTACTTACCTCAGAATAAAACTCTAAAAACAGAGCAGAATATACCACAGCAGAAGAAAAGAAGAGAAGTCTCACCAGCGGACTGTGTGGGAGCGATGCCCTGTCCGGCGTTAGACGGGAGGATCTCCACTGGGGCGGGCGGAGAGCTCCTCTCAACAACCTCTACCAAATCAAAAAACACAGTTATTTTAAATCCATCCAGTTTATTTTAAATTAAGTCAACATGTGTTTTCCATCAAACATGGTACTTTTTCTACTCAAAAAATGAGGCCAAGGTGCAGTCTCAGCAGATGAGTTTTCAGTCTTCAACAGAAGATGTGTTTCTGCTGTCCTGTTCCATCAGCAGCAGTTTTAAGAACAAAATGTGATGATAATGACATCAAAAGAGAATGACCAGATTTCTTCAAAGGAATGAGAACCAGAATACTTCACTACCGTGCCGAAGGGCGGCGCTGAATATTCTGCACGGTATTCTAATATTCTAAAAAATACAAGTTGAAATCAAGTTGAAATCACCATCAAACATATTACTTTGTAGGTAGTTGTTATTGTGCTGCTTATCCTGAAGCAGCTTCACACACACATCTCAAACTTCCCTGTATGCATTCTTAATGAATCTCCCTTGTTGCTCTCGGTCCAGTTTGCCAATTGATGACAGACATGTTGGATTTTTCTTGTTTGAAAAGTGTAGTACTGTTTTTTTTATTATATCCGTGATGATTAGGTAAACCTATATACTGTATTATATCAATAATAATCTATGATCTATATACATTAAACCTGTCTTTTTCCAATATTTCAGATTATAAAAATATGGCAGCTCCACCAGTAAAGGAGCTCTTCCAAAAGCATACGTTTCGCTTGAAAAGATCAAAACAAATATATGTCTGCAAATAGGAATAACACATAAATAAAGGAAAATAATAATGAGTAGCTTCTAATGCCAGTGTAAGCCACAGTACAGGGGATCTTTTAGGATTTCAGACTAATCATCTGAACCCTCAGCAGTCTCAACTGCTTCTCTTCATACTTCAGTTAGCATTTTACCTCACGTTGGCTAAAATGTGTGCTATTGTTAGCATTCTACAATTTCAGCACAACTGGACCTGAGGACAGAGTGCTCTGAGCTCGACTAGCTGTGTGTGAGATGTCCTAAACTGCCTGACACACCATAAAGTTTAGAGTGTAGTGAAGCAGACACCTGGGTAGGCTGCCTCCATCTTGACAGTGGAAACACCCGGAGACAGCTGGGGCAGGATGGGCTCAACTACTGGCCTATCTCTAACAGGAACTAGCAGCTCCTTCAACGACAAGACACAGACAATAAAACCAAATGGACAAGGTCAACAGAACACTGTTTTCATTTCTTCAGTCCATTATTCAGCTTTGCACACTGCTTCTTTCATGCATTCCAGCCGCAGTACTATGAAGCAGATTAGCATTTAGCTTGCATGGCAACTGACTGCAGTGCATAAACAGTGAAATAAGAAACAGCTCAGCGAGAAAACCAGAGAACAAATTAGCCACTTGTGCAGAGACTTCAGTCTGGATTTAATTCTCTATCTGTTTTCTGTACTAACGTTAACATAAACACATCGAAGGTTTACACATTGCCAAGTGCTGACCAGCTCAGAGTCATGCAGCAACGTTGTTGACTTCATGCAGAATTCATTATGCAGCTCCTTAGCAGCTGTGATTGTCTGTGAGCATGCAAACTGCCTCTACCTTCTTAAAGCTCCAAACCTACCTGCTCTGGTGCAGTTGTTGCTACTGACCACGGAAAAGAAAAACAAAACATTTTAATCTAAGTTTGTAACATGTACTGTGTGACGCTATCTTGGGTAGGTGGGGTTTCAAGTATCTATCTTTTTCTCCACCCCATACACTGTATGTCAATGATGGTAAGGGAAAGAACAGACTCACCCTACCATCAGCACAGACGATTTTTTTACAGAAAACCTTTCTTAGTGGGTATATGGCACATACATGCATATCAAGTAGACTTTCAACCCAGTCTCACGGCATTTCGTGTTATAGTCACGACATGTAATCTATTGATTCGTGTCCACCAACACGATTTTCCCCTTTTTTTCATGTCACACAGAACGATTTTAAAAGCAATGTATTTCTATTGGTAGTATGTTTCGTGCCTGCAACACGTCTTTTTGTCCGGTCCTGTGTGGTTCATAAAAACATTTTCTTACTCAATATCAAGCCACGATTATTGTTTTTATTTTAAATCGTATAATGTCTGACTTTTTTTGCCGTCCGTGAGGAAAATAAATGGGGCTCAGAATACTGAAATCTGTATTTATTCAATCTTTTTTCCTTCTAATTTGTTATTCTTTTCTAAATAACACACTGTTATTTACTCAACAATAACACACAATTATCCTTGTTTTTATTTATTTGTTTAATTCTATAATATCGGGCTTTTTCTTCTGAATTTCAAAATAAAGTCACCGGAAACAGACGTACTGTAGGCGATACACACCCACTGAACTGATTACCCAAGATCCTCAGCTATGGTTGAAGCTCGGTGATTGGATGTTTTAGCCGCAATGCACGTTGGGATATGGTGTTTATGCGATATGAAATCCGAAAACATAAAAAAAAAAAAAAGAAGAAAATAATACTTTAATCCGAGTGTGCTTGCTTTTCTCTTTGAAAGTCATCACATAACGGCATTCTAATACACGGTTCGGCTGCATTAAATATTACACATCTGCCGTAGTTTCCCTGATTAGAAGACCTTTGGACAAACTGGAAGAACTGCCACCGAAACTGAATACGTTTTTTTTTATATATATATCTGTTGTCATTTATTGTCTTTTATTGTGATTGTAGTAATGTGTTTTTATTACATGTACAGCACTTTGGCTCGACCAAAAATCGCTTTTAAATGTGCTTTATAAATAAAACTTGATTTGATTTGATTTGATACGTGACGTGGATCATAAATATATCAGCAATTAAACAACATCTTCAATTTTTCTTCACACAATACGTCTCCTTGCAGTATCAACACTAATTCGGCTGACTTTTATATTTGATCCAATTGGTAGATAGGTTATATTTACACCATAACGGTGCACAGCTGATAGAAAAGGACTTTTTAAAGATATTACTGATTTTCTTTGAATATAAGAATGTAAATACTGAGTTGAGAGAATAGTCAGGGGATTTGGGTGATGGGATAACTTACCATTAAATGACGGATATACCTTTCCGTCTGTGATGTTTTACAAATCAGATATTAATGTGTAGAAGTAAAACATGTCAAATAATATAGCAATATCCTGTAAAATTATGTGAAAACATGAATAAAACTACACATCTTCAGATGTTATACATACATAAGTGTCCTACACTAATAATAAAAAGTATAATTTGTTGTGTTAACACTTTAAACTTAAGTGGTTAAAGCACGTTATTGAATTTAGTTGTTGAATATGTTATATTTCATGAAAAAAGTATTAAGAGTACTTACAAAATAGGGGGAAAGTAGAAGGTCAATGATAGAAATATAGAATATAAAATATCAAGAAGATACTGTAAGTGATCTCTACAATAAAACAGTTTAGTGCCGGATGTACAAAGATATTAATATGAGATGTGCAAAACAGACAAACTAATAAGGCTTTATTTAAACATTAAAGAATACTTTACGTTAAGGTCTTCTTTCAAATAAGAAAAAAGCTTTGGGGGTACAGTATAGAAGATAAATATTAAGCCTGACAAAGTACTTAACGTCTAATATATTGCTTTCCTGCAATGTTAACTATGTTGAAGCACTTGTTTTAACTGATATTATACATATTAATTATACTCTTATGTATGTAGATAGTATAAGAAATGTGCAGAATATGACAGTTTAATGGTGGAGGTATACACACATATTGATAGATGTCTTGTAATGCACTGTTGAGGAACCTGCGACCCAAGTTTTTCATTCATTGCATAACTACACCGTAGTTGTGTATAATATGATATGTCAATAAACATATGGACCCGTTCGAGTCCAGTTTTGGATAGTCTGCCGTGGTTTCATTCCATTTCAAAGAGCTTAGATAAGCTGTAAGGAGATAAGGACACTGGGAGACTACAAGTACCTAGCTCAACTGGCAATGAGTTGGAAAAAAAACAACATGATTTTTCACATTCCAAACACAGTGAGATAGATTTACCGAAAAAGTTATAAGGTTGATTCCAAAAGTCTAAACTCATGACCAAAGGACAAACCCTTTTGCAGTGTGGTGCCCTCAGTATTACAATGGCCTAAAAGAACATGTTTGCGACGTTAAGCAGATCAGGTATTTATAGATCTTATTCATGAGCGATGATAACAAATGTTCCCAGGAATTACATGTAGAAGGGATCTCCAGGAGAAGCTGGAAGAAATCTCTTTGTGAAAAGATGTGTGCGCTCTTTGTCTCACTCGGGTGCTATTGCATCCCTGACTGAGAAAAATATGGGTCTGCCATCATTCCTATCTTGTTAAACTGTATTTCAGACGCTTAACAACAAACACACAAGCATCTAGCTTGCGCTACACATACCCCCCCTCCAGAACTACCATCTAATTTACTCCCACTGCTTTATTACATGGATTTGTGAATATACCATTATACCAAACTAACTGAAATGCACCAGTAAAGTTCCATGGTAGAGACTCACCTGGTATAAACTCTTCTGGCTTCCCAAAGGCCTCCACTGGTCTCTCTTGGGTGGGCAGGGGCTGAGGAGGAATCTCAATGGGCTCCTGGTTGATGGTGATTGGCTTATTGACAGGCGGATTGGGTAGAACAGTGTACCCCATCCCACCGGGACAGATGCCTTTGAACTTAGCTATAAAATAAAAAATAAAAGAGAAATAGATGTGGTTTTAAGTACATACAAAAACATGAGATGCAAAATGTTCAGAGTGTGTTTAGCATCCTATTTCAAAAGCAATACAAGACAATCCCATAGAAAAAATCCTGATAGAAAAGAGACAGCCAGCATCACCATGGAAATATCTGATTGCTGCTGGAAAAACACAGTTTATTGATATTAGCTAGCATGTCTTTTTAAACACACACACACACACACACACACACACACACACACACACACACACACACACACACACACACACACACACACACACACACACACACACACACACACACACACACACACACACACACACACACACACACACACACACACACACACACACACACACACACACACACACACACACACACACACACACACACATGGGCGTACAACTCGCTGCTTTATCTCCTTAAACATTGCACTTTAATCAGGATTATTTGCTCTGTCCATCCCTGAAGTGAAAGAGCAGTAAGCAGGCAAAAGAGCCTTTTCCTATCATATCCCCTTCTTATGGAATAACCTCCTCATGGACTGCCGACTGTCCCTCCTCCCCACCAATATCACCCCAACAGGGTCTCTGTATCTTAACAGGAAATGAGGGATGGGTTTCATTCAAAACAAAAGGCCCAGTAAGTAACTGTATCTTGTTTATTTAATAGGGTTCCCACGGTATTTATTGCATCATATTACATCATTGTTACATTATACATTCATTCGTTATGATGACATGTATTTTCTTTAAAACCTCTCTCATGGGAATGTGTTTTTATCAAAGCCTCCAGCTTTATACTGATGATGTTTGTCTGTTTTCAACATCCATCAAAAAACTGTTTCGATTGCCTTAGCAGCAAAACATTCAAAAAATAATTCTTCAAAAAAGCACGTCAACCTTTTCTTCTGCATCAAAACATGTTTTTTCTGTATACAAAATGGATATAAAGAATTGACACTGAATGGTCTTTATGTTGTAGCAGATAAATATAAATTATAAATAAATTGCTCTTATTGTCATTTCACAGTAGAGGTACTATGTAACGGAATTGTTCCTCTGCATGTGACCCATCCTAGTGTTAGGAGCAGTGTAGGGAACGGTGCCTTGCTCAGGGACACCTCGGTAGCACTTGGTCTTGCCGGGACTCGAACTGGTGACCTTCCAGTTGCCAAGCCAAGTCCCTATCGACTTCGCCACCACCGCCCAGATGTAGGTATAGCTCCATTGCAGATCAAATAAGCATCCTGTTTTAATACTTTAAAATTACAAATATGCCCTGACACATACCCTAACCCAGTGGCGAACCGTGTCTATCACAACTGGACCTTCTGTAGACACACACGACCCCCCCCCCCCCCCCTCCGCGGCATTATAATGTCCGTCTTTTCACTGAATTGTCGTCTTGAAAAGGGTACTAACAACAATTCCGCAACAACTTCATCTTCACCTGTTGCACTTGTCATTTCAACGTTAAAAACAATAAAACGGCATGAATTGCTTCGTCACATTCATCTAGATCCTCTGTCTCGAGCCAGTTAACTAGCGGGCCTTCTAGAGTACCCTGGAACCGAGGGAAACTCTGAAAGAACACGCCCATTGGCTACAAATCAATATATTGGTAGATATGATTGGTTGATCAAACTGTCAGTCCAAACGTACGGCCAGGGCATTCTATCAAGGATATAGAATACCTTGGTTGAAGGATATTCTACCCAGAGACCCAGAACAAGATCTAATTGGTTGTTTTCTTTTCTAACAGAAAACCACTTAAATGCGTAGAGCATGGTCCGAGAAGGACAAACAAATCAACGTAACACTGTAATATTACCTTCTAGTGTTTTAAATAAACTTAAGATTCAAGAATTGTAATGACACACATTAATATAATAATTCTACATTTGAGAAACAAACTCAACGTCAAGGCATTCAACTGGACATTCTTGATTTGTAAACATGCTTTCTTGTTTTATAACTTCAAAATATTGTATTGTAACTTAACATTATACATGTGTAACTCAACATTCTACATGTTTTACTTAAAGTGGACCTATCATGCTATATTTAAATGATATATTGTAGGGCCATACCTATATAAGGTATATTTATACGTTTCTGTTTTCAAAATACCAAACAGATCATGCATTTTAGCCATGCCTCATTTCGCTCTATTTGCTGTTCTCCAGCCCTGTTTTTGCAGGGGGCTGATTCTGTGAGCTGCAGCTGACCACGCCCCCCTGCAGGAGAGGGGAGCGTGCTCTGATCAAGTCAGAAGAGGGGGAGAAAAATAGATCTCCGTCCTCCGTGTTTTATTATAGCCTATTATTATATAGAGTCGTTATTCATTTGTTTTAAAGCTCAATAAATAACAAAGAAGACCTTTGACCGGCACTTTTCTAATTTTGTCCGGAAGATTTAAACTTTAACGGACATCTTGACCGGCGAAAGAAAACCTAACTGAAACTCTGCCGCACGGTCCCCTCGTTCCTTGGAAGAGGCGGAGAGGTGGGTGTTTGTCATCTGCTGGTGGACTAACCGGAGAGAATTACAGTGCTTGCCTCGACAGGGAGGGATTGCATTGAATTAAAGCAGCAGGAGCAAACGCTTGCCTCGGGGAGGGAGAAAAAACGCCACAGCGGAGAATAAACAGAAGGGTAACCATGGTAACCATGCACGGGAAGTCTTCTTCGCTGCTTTTGTGGCAGACTACAGCGCCACTTACAGGCCTGGCATATAGCGTCTCCAGCGCTTTCGCGCGGCAATGGCCGGCCGTGGCCCAACCCCACAATAGCCGTAGCGCCACCGTCCTGATGTCAGGACAGTGTTCAAATCTGGATCAGTTTTTATCAGATCCGTTGCAGCCCCTTTTTTAGAGATTTGGGTATGGAGGAAAATAGAGAGGGTTGTGTTTTCTGACACTTGGTGAGTTCCCTGGAATACCGGGGACACATATTCATGTATAAAAGACGCCCCTTTAAAGGGCCCATGTCATGCTTTTCCGGTTATTACCCGTCCCCTTGTGTGTTATGAAGGTTTTTATGCATGTAAACGGTCTGCAGAGTCAAAAACTCTCAAAGTACACCCTGAAGGGAGGAAAACTCTAACACAGAAAAGACCTCCCCAAAACGCCTCGTTGGAGATTTATCATGTTCTTCCTGGGCATCGTGACGTCTGGATACCCAGTAGCCACGCCCAGAGCTATGACGCGATACGGTCATGCGGTACCCGGAACCAAATGGACCAATCCGCGGAGCCGTTACGTTACGTCCGCGTAGCCGTTACGTTAAGCCCCCGCTGATTGGTCCAAATTGAACAATCCACGGACTTCCTCACACACAGGCAGCTCTGCTGATTTCTCCTCCCTGGCTGCAGGCTGATAACAGACAGTTGGGATCGCGGCGAAATTCTCTCTGGAGACCCATTCTCACAACGTTTATCAACCTTTTTCTTACTCAATATCAAGCCACACTTATTGTTTTTATTTCGGCTGTGAGTTTGTGTGTGCTCAGGATGAGTTTGGCTGTGTTTCGCTGTGTATCGCTAAACAAGGAAACCACACCTCCACGGATCTCAGCGCGATTCACAACATCCCGACCAATCAGAGCACACTGTGCTCACAGGGAGGGTGGGGGCTGGAGCTATTGGAGCTCCAACGAGCCGTTAAAGGCAGAGAGTGAAATTCAGTGAATACAAGTAGTTTACAGAGATGCTGTATGAGAAACCAATGTGAGTTTGGAAAATTGCACAATATAAATCTATTCTAGTAGACCTCAACAATGGAATTATGATCAGTGGAAATGGCCATGACATGGGACCTTTAACATTCTAGAATTGTAATTACACATTCTAGTTATATAACTCAATATTCTAAAATGTAAACTTGCTAAAGTAGAATTCCAGAATTGTAACTCAACATTCTAGAATTGTAACTGAACTTTTTTATAACTCTGACTTAAAGGTAGGGTAGGTAAGTTTGAGAAACCGGCTCGAGATCGCTAGAATTTGAAAATACACAACCGGAGAAAATCTGCCACTTCCTTATAGCCCTCCTCTAACACACACGAACGCGCACATGACCAATGAGGGCACGAGATAAGTTTGTGCACAGATGGAAGGCTGACAGGCAGGTAGGCCATCCAGTTATTTAAGCCGGGCCGGCTAAAATGATTGGTCGTGCTTTTTACAGTATTACGGCTTCCACAGATTACATTTTTTTCATGGATTTTTTGTCAAAGCACTTAAGATATTCATTGCTATCGGGATGTTAAGAGCATTCCATGGAATATAATAAAAAGTGTATCTCGAGCCGGTTTCTCAAACTTACCTACCCTACCTTTAAGAAGCTAAACTTGTAAATTACATTTTTAGAATGTACACATTGTAGTTTTATATCTAAACATTGTAGAATGTTACCATAACTTTCTATCATTTTAACCTAACAGTAAGTTAACATTGTACTTCAACGTTCTAGTAATATGATTAAACATTCTTGAATTGTAACTCAACAGTGAAGGCATTACACTTGACATTCTTGTTTTGTAACTTTCCTTTCTTAACCCTTAGATGCACGAGTGACTGGACCCTACACTTTTCCATAAGTGCGTCAAAGAGGACCCGTATTAGAATAATATGTGTTTTTATGCCATTTTTGTCATTTTGGTTAAGAAAAATCACTTGTATAATATTTAGTATTATATTTTGGTTCACACTAGAAATATTTTATATTGAACTTTTCACTATTTATAATTTTAGAAACAAATTTTACATTTTGAAAACAAAACGAAATTCCATAGAAAATTAATGCGGGTCATTTTTGACCCACTTACCTCATTCACACCAACGCAACTCCGGTTCAAGCTCTGTGCTAGAGCTTTTCAGGTTCAGAACCGGTTCTTCGGTTTAGCTCTTTTCACACCGCCCAGAGTCCGACTGGTGCTGCGTCATTGCGTCATCGTTTGCGTCATGACGTAACCGTTTGCGTGCCTGCTTCATAAAGCCAAACCGCGCGGAAACCCCTCACAGCTCACACCGACAACAACAACAATGGCCGATTGTGTTGAAGCGCTACTCGCTTTGGTTTTCTGCAATTGTTGGAGAATTGCTTTGGACCGCGTGCTCCCCTCCAGCTTCCTCTGTACCTCTTCGGAAGACCAGATTCCCAGTAGGTAGATGGTCTCTTCAGTGGACCACTGCTGCTTGTTAAGTTTCTCCATTGTTGTGTACAAACTGGATAAAACGCAAGCTTTTTGTTGTTGTTCAGGAGTTGATCCCGCCCCTGCCCCTGCCCCTGCCCCTGCCCCTGCCCCTGCCCCTGCCCCTGCCCCTGCCCCCCGAAGGTAAGTCAGTTGTTCAATAAACATCCCAATCCCCTATGCTGAAGTTGCAAAACACCATGATCTTATGATCCAATTCTATCAGTTTCACAGTTACACAGGGACGCGGGAAGTCAGTCAGAGTTGGGGGTGCGTTTTTCAGGTTGATATGTGAAGCTCATTAGCTAGCCAACATGTATCTTCTATTAGAAGTGAAGCTACTAGACTAACGTTAGGTCTACTGTAATAGCCTCACTTTTAATATTTTGCAAAACATTAGCTAGCACTAGTGTTTTGCAATTGCTAGCAGCTTATTGGGATTTTATGCTAGATAGACAGGCATTGTTTTGATATAATAAATTAAGCATTATTGTTAGTTAAGCATGTCAGCCTGCAGCCCCACTTATAACTCTGTCTCTCTCTAACTCATTGCAGATGGCTGCACTAAAGAAAAGGGCACAGAGAGGAAACCAGTTGTAAGATGTTTAAAAGTTAATTAAACATAATATATGCTTAAATGCATTTCAAATAAGTTGTGTTGGAGTTTGTGTTATTCTACATTTTGACACCAAGATTTTCTGATTTTACTGCAAATGTATATCGGTTCCAAATATCGGTTATCGGTCTCCTTGATTACTAATAATCGGTATCGGTATCGGCCTTGAAAAAGCCATATCGGTCGATCCTTAATTTGTAGTGCCTGCTGAGAGGTGGTACTCTCCTGGGGGAAAAAAAGTGCCCCAGTTCTGATTGGCTGGGCGAATTGCAAACCACGCCCCGTAAAACTCTGAAATGTTTTGTAGAGCCGCCATTTTATTATCCTTGCATTAGCATTATTAGCATTAGCATTCGCCCAGCGCACAAACGCAGAGACTAACTTATGGCAACACAAAAGAAAACATGGGAGCGGTGGAGATGAGGAGGTGTCGGCGTTCTGGCGATTTACTCGGAAGGCTTCAGTAGAAGCTGCTGGGAGTCCCAGCAGCTTCTACTGAAGCCAGTCCTCAACTCCGGGGACTTCCGGCCGGGGACTTCGGGTGGCAGTATACGCCGTGAAGTTGTTTGCGGCCTGCCAGTAAACCCAAAGCAGAAGAAGAAGAAGTGACGTCAGCGGCTCATTTGCGTAATCTTCCCTCAGGGAACTTATTCCGGTGTGAACGCGATCGGCTCTTAGTTCCATGGGGGTACTAAGTGCTGGGAACTAAGTACGGCAAAGTACTTGGTGTGAACGCGACTATTGAGCCTACTATAGAGTATAGAACCATCACCATTCTATAACGGTACTTTAACATTCTATCAATGAAACTTGATTCTAGATTGTAATTTCACATTCTAGTTACTGTATACAACTTAACATTCTAGGATTCCAATTCAACTTTCTAGAACTAATTTGAAATTCTATAAATTCATTTTGACATTCTAAAAATGAAGAGCGGAGGCAAAATTTGCTGAAGCCAGTCAGGGAAAAGACAAAAACATATTTTGCATAAAGAGAAGTCTGAGTGTCATTCTTTGCTCTTCTCTCAGGAAAAATCTCTGAATCTGATATAGCTATTAAAACATCTGTGCTAACTATTTCAGGATCCACCATTGTTGTTTCTAATGATCATAATACTCTTGCCTCTATGTATCATTGCCCACACCTAAAGCACGCCTGTAGCTGCTGGTAGATCCACACAGGGATGGAGGACACTGAGGAGTCTGGTCACAGGAAGCAATACATAAACTGATAAGATAGATTTTTTTTTACCCACCCCTAGGAATCACCACTTTAACTTAATGAGCCAATAAGGAGCAGTAGCACCCCCCCCCCGGGACAGGACAACTGGAGCCCTCTACTTCATGCTCTGGAAATCTTGTACTCTGTCACTCTGCTTGTGTGGCCTGTTAACTTGCAGGACACCGGCCCACTGGGCAGAGTCACCCGGCCCTACAGTATGTGTCTCAATGACTTACAAACCTTTGCTATTTTGCCAAATGACAAAATGTAATGGTGGTAGGCATTATCTTTCTTCATACTTAATGAAGTGTTCCCATTGAGACAGAATAAATGTCCGATGTTGCAGGGGGCCTTACCTGTTCCTGGAGGGGGGCATTTGTCACAGCGAGGGCCCCAGGCTTTGCCCACACTGCAGCAACAGAGCTGTTTGCTCAGCTGGGTGGACACTGGGTGCAAACACTGCCTCCCTGAGCTGACCAAGCGGAAGCAAGCCCCCTTTTCCTCTGGGATGGCAGGGGTGTTGGCTAAATAGGAGCGCAGGGGGGAATCGGTGCACCAGAGTTTAGAAGAAACATACATGGGAAAGAGAAAGAACAGACAGTAGAGAAATAAAGAAGTTCCCTTCACCAAAGATACTTTTCCAACTGCTATGACAAACATATTTCTAAAACAACACCAGTGCATAGAGAAAAACAAAAATGTCACAGTTAAGAGTCAGGAAGTCTAATTTTGTGATGGCACAAAAAACTATATTCTAAACAATTACAGCCAACAGAACACAGAATCTCATTCAAAGAGCAAACTAAATGTTAACGCTTCATGCACTATCTAGGTCATGCGCTGGCTCAGATGAAGGCATGCAGGAAAGGTTGGCTCAGTTTGTGTCTTCAAAGTCTTATGGTGTAATCAAACATCTTTGCAACATCTTTAATTGGAATACAGGTACTCGGTGAGATGTTGGTGAGTGACCTAGAGTTTGTAAAGTAATAGATAGTATCATGAAGTCTATTCTATATTTTAGGGGGAGCCGCTGAAGGATGAAAGGATAGGTGTGCTGGGGGGTAGTCTGGCTGCAGGAGGAAATGCAGGGGAACAGTGCTGCGTAGCTGAGACAGAAGAGAAAAGCATTGCAATATTCTAGAATGAGGGCATTCAAAACCGCTTTTAGCATTGATTTGATTTTCGTGATGTTGCAGAGAACAGCAGAGCTTGTTTATGTGAGCACCAAAGTTTAAGTTCTGGTCAAAGATAATACCCAGTTTTTTTGTGAAAGGTTTAACATTGGGGGTCAGAGTGTCGATGTAGGATTTTATCTTGAAGACAAACTAATCTGGACCAATGAGAAGGACCTCAGTATTGACTGAATTTGGATGAAGGAGTGATATCCATCTTTTGATAGCAGCCGGGCAGTCATGGATAGTGCTACATTTACCCATGATTATTAGCTTAAGGGACAAGTAAATGTATCGTCAGCATAAAAGGGGTGACAGATGCGGATGAATTGTTTAAGTATAGGGAGAAAGGTATGAGTCCAGGGATTGAACCCTGTGGAATACCGCAGAGTAAAGGGGAAGATGAAGACACAAAACTGTCTATGGCAACCTCAAACTGCTTATTTGATAGAAAGGAGGACAAACAATTGAGAGCAGAGACCGAGAAACCATCCCAATTGGTTGAGATGTTCAACCAAAAGAAACCTGATCACAAGTTTGCAAATTTCAACCAAATATCATGGTGCGTTTAGACACGTTTAGAATGAATGTGTAATGTTATCCGACCAAACGGCTGTTTAATCTTGTGATATTTGCAAAACTTCTTATTGATTTGAAAAAAATCCTTTATCAATTGCTTATAAATGCTTAGAGGGAAACGTGTCTCACATGTACACCCACAGTGACTGAAATAGGACAATAACACTTAGAATGATTAATCAAAAACAACAACGTTTTCAAATAACTCGTGAATATATTGTTGAGGATGGAGAAAATGGATGGATATAACAGCAACAATAAACCTAAATGTGAACCATGACAAAACCCCACCCCCCAAACCTTGTATACTTTATCTCCATTAACAGAAACAAACACACATGAATGCTCCAAAAATGGAAACCTCCAGCACTGGAGTCAGGAAATTAAACAGTCACCTCTACCACTAATGGTAACAACTATTAACCAACACAAAAGTGACATAAGTCAGTGATTTGTAAACAGACATTGCAAACAGAAATTTACAAAAACAAACGCTAGCAACAAGTAATGTTTGCATTTTGGTACAGGCCCCATGTGTGTCTTAATCTCCACCGGACTGTATAGAAGTTGCTCATTATGCCAGATCTTTGCTCAAATGTACATACTACCTGACTCACAAGGGGACTAAAAACTAGATTAATTCTCCATGCAAAAAATGGTTGGTCATTTTCAATTGTAATATATAATTTGTATTAGATACGTTATTATGTAATGGAGGCAGGCTGTTTCACAGTTCAATAATAAATAGTATTGTCCAATATGACAGCGGTGCACTGATACTGTATATACATATACTCTTATTTAGTTGGATGAACTCCTTAACATCGCTATCGGCATCAGACTTTGAAACTCAGGTTGGCTGGGCTCATAGAGGAGGACATTAATAACCGACAGCCCATTTCGATCATGTTCAAGATTGATTACTCTGGCACAAGTGTGTGAGTAGTTTCTTCTTCTAACTGCATCTTCACTTCCCCAGATATCTCTTCCTCTCCCTTCTGCTCCTTATATATATACTTAAAGCCATGAGATTTGTTTGGTTTGACGACATGTTTGCCTTGCAGTTCATGCATGAGGTGGAATCTTTTGATATAGTGAAGACCATGCTTTAATCCATGCACTGTTTTCATATGCACATCATTAAAGGCACAGTTCAGCTTCAGCAGCATTCCTGGCAGCCTTTGCTTTGCCTGTATTTTGAAGCAGGAGGCAGGGGTAAATATTCAAACATATGTTCCACCTGTCTTCTCTCCTTAAGTGATGGTAAATATCAAACCAGTTTCAGAAGGTTTTTGGTTAAACACATCTACAGACCAGCATGCACATATAATGCATTCATTCCTGTCAATATTTCTGCTCAGTTTGACACTCAATGGATGGAGGTTCTGGTTTGGATGTAAATAAATCACATAGTGATGTGAGGAATACATCTTAGACAAAGTTAGATTTTGTATGACTTACATATGCAAGTGGTGAGCGTGGAGTCGGGGACGAAGCCTGGTTTGCATGTGCACCTGTAGCTCCCCACAGCATTCAGACAGTTTCCATTGGGACACACACCCTGCAGCTGGCACTCGTCTACATCTGTGGATCAACAGAACATGTAAAGTCTGATTAATACAGCATAGGAAAGAATTTAGAAATGTGCAATCTTTTTAGTTTCCCATCTTGCAATGTTACTTCTTCACCATCATTTTCTACTTTCTCAAATTATTTTACCAAGATTTACGCAAGAATCAGGCACATATCCTAGGATTGTATTGTCCGTCAGCAACATAATGTTGTTTGTATGTGTAAGCGTGTGAGTGTGTGTGCGCAATGCCAAAAGGATAAACAACTGGTGAAGTACTCAATACAATATATTCTTCTTCTTCTATACACTTAAGAAATAAGGAAATCATTACAAAGAGAGTTGAGTGAGAGAAGAAAACTAACACAAAGACCACCGAGAAGGGATTTTTTTACTGAAGTCAAAGTAAAAAAATTATTATATATATGTGTGATATGCTCAAAGATGTACTGTATGTGTTAAAGGGACAGTGTGTGTAGTGTTGCTGTTGCAGATTGGAACACACTGAGTACTCCTCCGCTCAGCCTTCCCTTTACAAACCGTTGAACCGCAGTACTACCCTTCAGGAGCTTCACCTCACACAGAGGCCATCTTTACCATATCACTATTTTAGAAGCAATGAAAAACAGGTGTATGCTGGCATTACTTCAGTTAACAGGCCGGTCCTGTGCCAAAGGCCCTCTCTAGAGCTGGAGCTTGGTTTCTCCATTCTGAGCAGTGCAACATATCAAACTCAGTGGAAGAGGACCCTCTTACTAAGTGCATTTAAATGGCTCATTCTGAGGTAGCAACAACTTGTATATGTGTAGCTTAAATGAAAACACAGCAATGCATGCATTTGAAAAAAGTAACATTGCTGGAATATGCTTAAAAAGCAAAAAGAAATAACATAAATACGCAGACTGAGATTTAAGATTGTATTTACATGTTTGGTCCGCAAGCATATGGTCATAGTTAGAAGACAAAAAGCAGAACACTAAAAGTAAAAGTGGTTGGAAAATGTCAATAATCAATGTCAATAACGCACGCACGCACGCACGCACGCACGCACGCACGCACGTACTCTCTCCTGCTTCCAGCCACAGAGCTGGCACACACCAGGGATACCATTGCAATGTGCCACCATTACTAGTGGTAGCATTGAATTCAACGCCCACTATTGGTGCTATAAAGAACCACAAATGATTGTGGGAAACGACTTTCCGGATGGAAAAGACCAAAATTGCTTGTTTACAACAGCCATGTGCCCAAATGAACTCTGCAAACAGCTTTTGCCTGCTGTAAACATTCCTCCTATTTATACGTGATGGGGAACTCATTCACAGTCAGTTCTGTTTGAAAAGGCTGGTTCAACTTAAGCTAATGTGAAGCCTCATCATCAAATAAGGATAGTATCTTCTAAATTACATTTGATTTAAAACAACATTTTCTATACAGGGATGTAGTGTTGTCACGATACCAACATTTTGGTTTCGATACCGATACCAAGCCAAGAATTGCGATTCCGATTCTTTTTCGATACTTTTCTTTTATTATTTTCATGATCAATAAAATTGTAGTTTATCTGTTAAGTGTTTTCTTACAACATGGTCTCTTCTTTATACTTGAGTTAATGTGATTTTTTTGATAGTTAACTTTATATTTTATTAACATGTAATAGTACAGTAATATAAATAATTATTGACAAAATGTACATTGCAGATGTTAGCCACATTGGTAAGTTAGCTAAAAAGATAGCCATATTAGACAGTTATCATTGCCATTAATTGCCTCGTCAAACTACCAAAACGTTTGTTTGTCACAAAATAAATTACACTTGTTTGACTTAGATTTGAGGACATGGGCTTGAGCATGATGTAATTATGTTATCTATCACATTCGCTAACCTGTCTGTCTTTCAATTCTTTAAACAGCACTGGATGCAGGTCGGCGAGGTGCTTAGCCAAGTTTGATGTGTTGGCTCCATTGGTTTGCAGGGATCTAAAACATTTCTTACAGACAGGCCTCATGGTGTCCGTAGGCTTGCCCTCACTGTCAGAGATATAGCTCAAATACTTCCAAATTTAGTTTCTGGCGTCTTTTTTGTCAACAAGCCGAGGCGCAGCGGCAGTTGCACTCCCACTTGCAGCCATGCTTCTCGTTTTCTCACATGCTCTGGCAGCTAGTGCGTGCATGAGAGAGGGGAGGCACTTAGAGCGTGCTTGAGAGGGGAGGGACTGCAGGCACGGCTGCAGTGCAGGGAGTGGAAGCAGAGCGCTGAACACACACGGCTCTTATTAAAACAGCGCTTTCTCACCGGAGTACTTTTCCCCGTCATTCTTAAAGTACCGATACTAATGAAACGGAGGAATCGTAACGTTTTTAACGGCAGGGTATCGCGGTACCTTTCAAGTATCGGTACACCGTGCAACACTACAGGGATGTCTGATATAGAATATAGCTCTTACAACTGAAAATATCTAGACATTTCCATGGATCAATCTAATCTCATTTAATCAAAGGACTTATATTTATATATAAGTATGTGCTCTTTTTTTAGAGCTCCTTTTTGGTGCTTTCTTTCTTTCTAGGAGAGTTGGTGTCATGAGCTGTTTCTGGTCTTATTAACTCTCCTGTCATTTCAGATCCTGCCCCCCTCCAGTCTCTTGCCATCAGCTCGCCCCCTCCCCTGCTACTCATTCCCTCATTAGCCCCACAGTATACTGTATATATCACTTCACTCTCACTTGTTCCCTGCCAGATTGTCTTGTTTGTACTACCAAGCCAAGTTGTAAGTGTGCATTCATCAAACAGAAGTGACTGTGATTGATTTATTATAAGGTGTGTGTTCTGCCAAGCTCTCCAGTGTCTTGTTGGCAATTAACCTATTTACTGGTATGTGCTCTGCCCATTTTTGACCCTGTGCCCACTTTATTCTGCCTCCTTATAGGATGTGTCTGCCTGATTGATAAGAAACCTGAAAGAAAAGCTCTTACCTTGGCAATGGGAGCTGTTGATTCTCCTGTAACCGTGAGGACAATCTATCAGAGGAATAGCTGAGGAGAGGAACACAGAAACAAGAGGAAGCAACATGTCAGTCACTGCATTCAGACATTTAATGAACTGTTTCAATACATCTGGGTGTCATCTGCATAGATATGATAACTTAGGTCGTTGTTTTTCATAATTTGGGCCAGTGGTAGCATATAGATATTAAAAAGCAGAGGTCCTAAGATGGAGCCTTGAGGAACCCCGCATGTCATATTTGTCAACGCTGATGTGTAGTTGCCTATAGAGACAAAGTGTTTTCTGTCCTTTAAGTAGGAATCAAACCGACTGTTGCCGAAAGTCCCACCCAGTTTTCTAGTCGGTCTACAGTAGCAATATGTTGTGGTCAACAGTGTCAAACGCAGCACTGAGATCTAATAATACTAACACTGAAGTTCTGCCACTGTCTGTGTTTAAGTGGATGTCATTGAAGACCTTTACAAGAGCAGTCTCAGTGCTGTGGTTTGGACGAAAGTCTGACTGGAACACATCAAAACCATCATTTAAAAGCATGAAATGACTCAGCTGTTGAAAAACAACTTTTTCAATAATTTTGCCTAAAAATGGGAGGTTCGATATTGGCCTGTAATTGTTCATTACTGATGCGTCTATTATGCTTTTTTAAGAGTGGTTTAATTACTGCAGTTTTCAGGGCCTGTGGAAATACACCCCAGTGGAGAGACTTGTTTACTATATGAAGTAGATCTGAGGCCATGCAATGAAAAACAGTTTTGAAAAAAAATCCTGTTGGAATAATATCGAGGCTGCAGGAGGATTTCAGGCAGTGATGAATAAAGAGTAATGAGATATATGGTACACTAAACGCCTGCTACTAGTACCCAGACATAGCAAATGCATTGTTTGATGTGATGTGTAAACCATTGATTAAGGTTTAAACGTAAAATATATTACGTAAAACATACAAGGATTGACTAAAACCAGAAATGGGTGATGAAGATACATTGTGACATGTTTATTATGGTAAGAAAGTAGTCTATATTGGTTTTCGAAACACAGTGTAAATCTGTTGAACTATGATTGCTCTTTATCTAGGATCCGGAGATGGATTGCTTCTGCCTCCACCCACACAGCTTGGGATTCGCGGCACTTTCCTCACTTCAGTAATGTTGTCGCTAGGGAAACATCACTTTCCCTCTGGTGATTATATCCTGTTTTATCAGAGGCGTACCACAGGGAGTCAGGCAGGAGCTGAAAGCTGCTCTGACATCAGCAGCTCCCAGCAGAGCACAGACTGAGAAGTCAAATTAATCTGCAGGTTACAGGCTGGGCACTGCTATACAAAGGCACCAGTGGGGACGTGGTACCCAAATACCTGAAAGCAGATTGATATTTTGCTCAACAGGAAACAACAAGGCGATGTTTGTTAGACCAATAAAGCCAATTTATTTACCAGCTACCAGTGTCTCCATGGTACAATGGACTGTTTCACACGTCACTGTCCAGTGGAAAGAAACTCCTTCCATTCCTCAGGAGAACAGAGGGAAGGACAAATACCTGGCTCTGCGGTGACTCCCACTGAAATGTGTGATTAGTGCGGCTGAAATCCTCTCATGGTGTGAGGCATGTGAGAGCTGGTATGAGTGATTAACAGGGTTTGCCATATTATAAATGCACATTATGACAAAGTGTGAACTTGCCGTGAACCTAAACATATCTGAGCTGAGAGAATGTTGTATTGTATTGTTTATGTCAGGAATTTACATCACAAAAAGCGTACAGACCCCCAAAACATAATCTCTGTCCCTCTCTGTGTGTCAGTATAACTGCTGGATTATTAGTGTAAATCGCTACTAATATACAACCTGAGGGAGAGCCTGTATTACACCTGGATGTTTAAAGTTTGAAAAAAGAGAGGATAGGAAGGGAGAAAATATGCATGATTGAGTGGCATTATAGGAAATGTACTGATGTCCCCATCTGATAAAGTACTGGAGTACCCGAGATTTCATTAGATAAGGTTTATGTTTTGTTATAGCAAAAAGCTTCAACTGCTGTTTCTATGGAGACAAGGCCAGTGAGAAGCTTCAAGTGTTATGGCCGTACCAAATTCAAAAACATTTCTCAATGCAACCATAAGGTCCGGATGAAGAAATCATCTAAAACAGACCAAGAATCTCTTCCAATCATGAGTTGTGTTAACTTTTCTCCTCATTACTTCCTCCGTTGAATTTGAACTTATGTTTTTCTGCATTGATGATTCAGTAGTGTCTTACAGTTTCATGTCCATCAAAGCCTTTAAGTGCTCAAGCCAGTAAAAGCATGGTACATTTACTTCTGAAAACCATGAAAGCCCAAAATAACTCCATAAGTCCATATAAGGACATCATGACATTAACATATGGCAATACTTTTGAAGGCAAAGCAATGTCTCTATTTTGGTTCATAAACAGTTTTATTAGCCTCTCCTCAGTTGAAAAAGAAGGACTGTACTCAAGCTCTTACATTTCAGCTAATACAGCAGCAACGTGTCTTTTACATTAAATTGACATTTATATTCAAAAAGAGGGACCCGTAAAGGTGTATGAGTGAATAGCCATCTACTCATCACTTCAGGCATGTGTGTATGTGTGTGTTGTGTGGGGGTGTGATTGGTACAACATGCCATAAAGGCCCTTCATGCGTTTTCACACCTGTCTCTCAATACTTATTCAGATATAGTGTTTCCTGATTTGCTCAGCACCTTTACTTTGCCCGTTGCTATATGTAGCAAAATAAGCTCAGGGAGGGAGAGCCTCTCCAAGTTTAGCTTGTCTTTAACGATTTTCTGAAAACATAAATTCCTTTTTTTTAGCTGAGGACCGTCCTGAGCCCTGAGGCTGTTTTCTGAACTTCAGATCACCGTTCCCTCGAAAGAAACCGCCTTCAGTAAGTGAAGATCAAATTCTGATGTCCGCCAAACCCATTGTGAGGGAGAGAATGGAAGAGAAGGCTGTTCAGAAAGCTGATACGGACCTGTTCTCTGTACCACAGGGGTTGAAGATTTTGTGTCCACTTTAGAAACAGGCAAACGTAGCTATCATAACGTCACGGTTTAAGTTTAGTGTTTTTAGGATAAAAGAAGTGTCCCAAAGTATGAAGTCAGCATCTACTGTTGAAACCAGGCGTCTGCAGCTTGGGGTTAAATCATCATGTGTTGGTGTTATAACTGAAAAGGTATTCCTGTTGGCAGGTATTTTATTGAGCAATATTATGAAGATTAATGTTATGGTGTTAAAGGTGTGTTTCCCTCAGAGTTATATTTATCCACAGAAGTTAAATGGGCCTATATTTTCAAATATTATTATACAATTAACACACAAAATTAAGGTATTTTATTTTTCAGACACACTCCTCAATGATGACACTTTATCTTGGATTGTGAGAGTAGGATTTAGCTGAGGTCTTTCAGAATAGTTGCTATCAAGCTGTTGAGATGATGTGGGTTAAGGTTAATGTTGAACTTCACTGGTGTAAAAACAGCTTACTAAGATTCACACACAGCTCTAAATGTTTAGAGGTGTGCAGAGAATTCTAATGGACGTGGATTAATTAGCTTTCCAAATAGCTTGACCAACGTCTAAGAGAAACAGCTGTACTCACATGGTTGCTTTGGACACTTCTGGCACTTGTGGAATCCCCAGGACGTCCCGATAGTCTGGCAGCACTGCTCTTGCTTAGTGAGGCCTGGCAGAGCCTTCCCACACTGAAACACACAGATGTACACAGTGAGATAAAGGAATGGAAAAGGAATTTTATTTTGATAAAAAGTCTGTTTCTGTTGTCTGATCCCAAGGACAGTCTGATAAACACACTGACAGTCTGTTATCTTTATGGAACAACTGCTCTGTGAAATGTGACCTGGTGATGAAGTCACTCAGGATTTATGTTCACTTAAACTTGACATTGGGTGTTTTGACAGTAAAATAATAAATCTGCTCTTCATCTCCAGGCCCTGACATGCTGACAGTGTACCTGACTGCCTGCTGTTTCCTGGAAGCAGCGCCCCAGAGTGTTCTTGGAGGTGACGGGCTGGTACTGGGGGACCTGGTGTGCGTGCTGGCTGGGGTACACAATGTTGTAGCCGTGGTGCTGGATGTTTTGGCTGCTCTCCGTGTGGCGGTAGGTGTAGCTGGAGGAGGAAGAGGAGCTGGAGCGGGACCCCTTCAGAGGCTGCCCGTTGTTGTGGTAGTTATCCAGCTGAGACACCTGGTGCACCTGGACCGAGGCCTCTGGGGGGTGTTTGATGTGGATGTTCACGATGCTGGGGTTGAACACTGGAGGCAGATGGGACAATTATTACAGTGCATTGTCTCATTATGAAGCTCAATGTCTGTCTGTCCATAGGTGGACTACCTCTGATCTACTTCAGACTAGGCCGGAGTATTGCTGTAGAACCAAGGGCATGCAACGTCAAGGTTTGTTCAATTTGGACAAGCAAAATTCAATATTAATTAACTTTGAATAAAAACGGATTGTGTGTTTCTGATCAAAAGTTGTAATAATTCAATGTTAAATGACACACAGTAAACGAGTTGCTTTCAGATTTTTACTGTGTTGTGAAGATTGAGGCATTATCAGCACCTGATTACAGGGCTTAGTAAAATACTCGATTCTGATTGGTCAATTTGTGATGGCCAACCGTCCCCAGTATAGAACCGGTAAAGGTAAAAAAATGAAGGAAAGAGGTTAACAGTCACAGAGAGCTGTGACAAGTACAAGTCAGCAGAAGAAGTCAGCCCGTTAACACCAAAGGGAACACAGTATGGGCTCTGGCAGGGTTTAAAGTTTGGTTGATGGAAAATAAACTGTGAAAAGACTTGGACAGTTAAAATAGCATTTAAAACCAGATTGAAGCCTTCAGATTAAAAGAACTATAGCAGAGGAAACAGGGTTAAACATATAGATGTTTACTACAGTGTGTTGGGTTGTGGACCGAACAGTTTTGGAGCTACTATCTATAATAGTTCAATCACATCAGTTTGATCCATCAGATGTCACTGTGATCTAAAGGCTGCAGTGTGGACAGTCTCTCTCGCTGCATCTCTTCTTTTCTATGTTTATCCTTGCATGCCCAGCTACATACAGCTGAACTGGGTTCATTCAGAAAAAAAGCGTTTGCTTTCACACTTAATGGAGCTGAAATACTATTTCACTGGACTGCCCATTAAACACCAACAATGATGAACAACACAATGTGTGGTCCATTTACAGGGATTGTGTAGATCCTGCAGAAGCACTACTTTTAGTTAATCTCTTACAGTAAGATTTAAAAAGCTTGAGCTAACACTGTACTGGGAGACTATCACAATAACTAACACACACTGACTGAGGTAATGCCATCAATGATTTAACAGAAAGAGGTCATTTGAATGGTTGATTTTCAAATGTATTGAACCTGCCTGTATTTGTTATCATTGGCCAGTGAGCAGATATATTGTTTGTGACTCACTTTAAACACCATGCTGGTGTTTAAACATGTTGAAGGCCATTGAATATGAACAAGTTTCACTTTACGTTACGGCTGGGTACCCTCCAGAGCATTACATGACAGTCAGGCTGAAACATGCATTGCAGGAAGTGGACTGATAAACAAAATGGAAGTGTTGCTCCTCTTTTCACACCCACATGTTTAGCCTTTATTTGTCTCACTCGCAAAGGGGTCTACCACTTACCTTTACTATAGAAAGAGCATTTTTGCCTCCTGTGTCACCAAAGGTTTGTTTGGCTATATAAAATATTCTTTGTTGCATTTGTAAACTTATAGATGGACAATAAAGAACAATGTTGATAGGTTATTGTTATTTGTACCTGTTATAAGAAGCAGGAAATCCTGGGTGCTTGTTTAGGAAATGTCTTTTGAAATTACATTTTTCATGGTTTACTAATTTCTCACAATATATCAAGCATACAAGTAAGGCAACATTGATGGCAGTAAAATCAAAGGGATCTGGACGCGCATTAAACTCTCTATTTCATTTGTGACTCCTTTTTTTTGGTCCCAGCATCAGAGAGCCATTGCAGTGTGGCACAGCCCCCCCCCCCCCCCCCCCCTGCAGCAGCATCTAAGCTGCTCCGTGGACTCACCAGGGTTCTGTCCGTTGCTGTAGGTCAGCGGCAGGGTGTGTGTGGAGTGGACCTGGGTCTGGCTGTACCCCCCCGCCGGCTGCTGCTGGCCGCTCCGAGCGGGCATCTGGCAGAACTTCCCGGTAAAGTTGGGGGGGCACTGACACTTGTCCCTGGTGCTGCACTTCCCCCCATTCATACAGGGCAGGTGACACACAACTGAGAAGAGAATAAAGAACGAGAAGTAGATGAAGTGACGCACTAATGGTCCCAAACAATACAAAACAAAAAAGTACGTTCCATTATAAACACATCTGTGAGCCTAGAGCTGGAATAAATGATTAATAAAACCGACACACACCATGAACACAACAACAGGTGTCAGCTACACACACACAGAACAGTCAGAGGGATAAACCAAGCACTACAGCAGTATGGCTCTGAGACGCCAGAGGGAAGAGAGGATACAGTGAAGTCACTGTTCTGCAGCCAAAAGGCGTTAACACGGCGCAAATGAGGTGATGATACACATGCTGTGTATGTACCAAATTCTGTTCAATGTGGTATTGTTCCATAAGATTGGCGCAACAGTTGCATGTGGACAAAACAGGTGGGAGACACTAACAAACCTATCCAAGTACTGCTTCATTTCCTGTTATAAAAACTAGATCTCAGACAAAAAGAGATACAGGGATACAGAGATTCATTTTCTCCTAGGCCTCGCTGAGTCATTTCCGCTCTTTTCATCGTTTCTTTCCAAAGAAAATCAGACCTCACAAAGTCAGGACAGGAAAGGGACCAGCAGCCATTACTCACATCAATACAATCATCACAGGTTACCATGTCATTACATTATTGGATTGCTGCTCAAACCCCCCACCAATAATTCATCATCATGGGGCATATCCTACATTAAAACAGCAAATGTATATAATTGTTCAGAAACCCTGACTTATAGTATAGTATAGCTCCATTTGGGATTTAGGTCTGTATAGATGGAGGTTTTTTAATATATATTTAATATATTGGTACAGGGCGAAACGGAATTTCGGTCTCCTTGTTTGTAACACAATCAGAGATTTTGACAATAAAGTTGACTTTGAAAACATTCTGTATTATCATAAAGAACCGGCAAAACTCCCTGATGGCAGTGTAGTCAATAAAGACGTGTGTGCACACTAGAACTTTATGAAAATCAGAGTGAACCAGCCTTCCTTCTTTACACTCAGCAAAGAAAACAGACCACCCACTGTGAATGTTCAGACCCTGCAGTACATGAAGACGCTGGTGCCTACAGTACTGGCTCAGTCCCACACTATATACAGCACATGGTGAAAATATACCCCCCCACACCTGTCCAAGAAACACTGCTATTCCCAATTGGCTTTCTACTCCCTCACTACAAAGACTACTGCAAAAACATCATAACTGTTTGCTGTCCAGACCATCAGGACAGCAGAAGCTCATTTCCCCTTGCAGACTGAAAGCTCATCTGTTCAGTCTGCACCTTCACTATAAAAAAAAGACATTAATTAAGTATATCAAAAAACTCGTATTTTTCAGTTCCTGCCCTTGTTGTGTTGTGGCTGCATCAAAATATGCTGCATACATGCAGGAGTCATTATATACATGACGCTATCTCCCAAAATGATTTGATAGTGTCTGGACTGCAAGAATGAACTGGCAGTTCCAGGTGTCTTTAATAAAGGAAGAAGGAGTTGAGTTGCCAGAGAGCTCTCAGCCCAGCAGCCGGTGTGTGCACCTGGGAGAGGAGCTGGAAAAACACCACTTAAATCCTGCCTCCATGGACTGCACAGGGCCAAAGAGGAAACACATTCAGCAGGCTGAATCATAAAGATTTCAAAAAGAATCCTTATAAGTGGTATGAAGTCATTCCCCAAATACTTTCTGCCATCACCAAACTATCATCAATTGGCCAATTCATTTCCTGTCTTGAACTGGCCAAATCAACACTGAAAAACAGGTCAACACCTTTTTTCTTCTGTGGTCAGGGAAAACACATGTGGAAAACTAAACATGCCAAAACACCTGATTGTCAAAGACAGTGCGAAGAGAAAGTTTAAATGTACTCAGGGATTGTAAGCCCTTGTCTCAGGATGATGGCCCAGAAATACCCTTTAACATAGTTTAGTTGCAGATCATCCAATATGTGCGCCCTGACAGTAATAAAGCTGCTACTAAAGCAACAGTCACTACAGATGGACTTTGATTTTTAAATGTTGAAACTTTACCCTCCTGTTCCCAGCTGTTGTTTGGACATGGCTAATATACAGCTCCTCAAAACCATGTGCTTGTCAGTTCTAACACTTTAAATATCACATTTATAAACAATTATTGGCAAATAAATCACTTATTCCAAAGAATGAGTATAAAACAAGACTAAAAGTCATACATGCTCTGAGCTAAATGCTACCACCTGCATTAACACAATGACAATGCTTACATGCTGACATTAAACAAGCATTAGGCCGATCACACATGTGTGAGTGCAGTAGAGTGACAATTGGGATATGCTCCTGCTGGTGGGGATGCTTGGGTTTGGCCCAACTTTTTTCAAAAGGACAGATGGTGTCACAACCTTTAGAATTTGACCGTACACTAAAACATGTTTCCGAAAAACAATGGAGCTAAGAAATAAACTGCAAGCACTAACATAAAACGTCTTCAGACAAGTAATTCTGTATGTTAATTAACAATATAACAATGTGCCAAGAATAATATATTGAATGGATAAAGTGGGTGGTAAATGCATGCATGTATATCTACTGTATATACAGAATATACAGATTGTAGGGTTTGTAAAGCGATTGAAAGTGCAGTCAAGCAGGAAGTAAGTGAAATAAGAGTTAGCTCAGCTTCAGGTTGTTATGACAGCATCAGAGGAGCAGCTGTTCTTTATGCACACCCATCAAGTCTAGTCAAGTCAATGTTTATTATAGCCTAATGTAAAAAAAAGCACGCCTTAGAGGGCTCATTATCATCCAGAATGAGGCCGATGTATCATATGAACATTTTAGTGGTTAACAAACAGGTCTCCTGAGTTACAGTTATTGGCATCAATAAAGAAGTGCAGTGGGAAGTGGAGAGCACCCTGAGGGGCCCCGGTGCTGGATGGGATTTTCTCTGCTCTTACTTGCTGCTTCTTGTCTGCCTCCTGTATGTGGGGAAGGATCCACTGACAGGAAGGGGCTGGCACAGTGACCTGGGTGAGTTAGAGTGAAGGCCTCTGGGATGTTGCTGTTCAACGCCAAGCTTAAGAATTCAGGCTTTTATTCTACCACCGGTGATAGAGCTCTGTTCTGAGTTAGTGGATGAGTTTGGTTTCTTTTCACAGAGAACAATTCCAAGCAAATCAAAATTCATTACCTAAAGCCATGTGAAATGTTTCCTTTTGTTCATTGACGGGAGAGGGGGAAAGTACAGGGACTAACTCTTGTTAGGCATGCAACCATATGCATTTGCTCCATACAAAGTGTCTGGTTCGTTACTCTTAATTTAAAGAAATTCAAAACATCAATAGCCATAAATACACTGTGAAATAAGTTTTAATATTCATTTGTCAGATATTTAGAGTGTCAGGGCTTCACAAGAGATAACAATAATCCATCATCGTTTAATGACATTTAAATAATTAACCTGGTATTATTCATATTTGGACTAGAACTATCATTGATTGTCTATGAGAACCTGTTTGATAACCATATCAGCTCTTAGATTAGGGGTGTCCAGGGATTTCCCATAATGCCCTTTGAATTTTACAGTTTATTGAATACAAATGCACAATTCCAGTCCAAAAACATTAGCCACTTTGAGATCATCATCTTCATCATCATCATCATCATCATCATCATCATCATCATCATCATCTTCATCCTCATCATCATCCTCAGCATCATCAGCAGCAGCATCATCAGCAGCAGCAGCATCATCATCATATATTGTTGTACCTTCTGGTGACATCACGGGTTAGGAGCAGGTTGGACAGAAAGGTGACCAGCTGCTTTGCTCATTATTGAATAGCTCAACAAGCCAATAGTCTCGTGTGCAACTCCAAACTTTGCACTTGCACTAAAAGTTGGGCCAACAGAAGATTTCCAGCTGATTAAAGAGTGCAATATCTTTCTTCAAATGAAGTATCAGTCCTAAAAGTAGAGTAAAACTGTGCATTTGGTTTAAAGTGCCCCATTATCAGAGGTGGAAGAAGTACTAAGATATTGTACTTGAGTAAAAGTACCAGAGTTTAGGAATACTCTGTTAAAAGTAACAGTCCTGCATTCAAAAATGTTACTCAAGTAAAAGTAGAAAAGTATTAGCATCAAAATATACTTAAAGTGCCAAAAGTAAAAGTAGTCATTGTGCAGATTGGTCCATTTCAGAATAATATATATGATATATTTTATAATGATTGATCATGAAAGTGTTCTCAAAGCTGGTAAAGGTGCAGCTAGCAGGGTAGCTTGTGAATTTATTCCAGGTGGAACTAAAGTCTGATTTAACACTTGATTATATTTCACATCATTCATCCAGATCTGTAAAGTAACTAAAGGTATACATGTAGTGGAGTCAAAGTACACCGTTTACCTCTGAATGGTAGTGGAGTAGAAGTATTACGTAGCAAAACATTTAAACACTTAAGTAAGTCCCTCAAAATTGTACTTAAGTACAGTACTTGAGTAAATCGACTTTGTTACTTTACACCACTGACCATTATATAACTCAAACCTTGTAACACAAAGAGACATAGAGCAGAGAGAGCATCAGACAGATGGATGAGAGCTGGGCTGCTCTCCAGAGTTCTCCGGTGATGAGCTGCTGCCCTGAGGCATTGATCAGATGAACTACTGGACTACATGTAGTTAAAAAGATAGTTTGTTTCACTCTGATTTAAACATAAGTAGTTTGTAAAACAACACAATAAGTACAATTACAAAACAGGTTGGTACTTTGCACACCTTAAAAGTGTATCTCTATTTCTCAGTTTATGAGAACTTGCTGATCTCATCCATGTCTTCTGGACATAGCCAGCTCTGTTCCTTGGCCAACATGCGGTCATGTGTTGTCAGCATTTTAACGATCCTCCCTTCCTCCCACTGTCTCATGAATCAACACTCCCCCTAACTGCCCCTCTCATTAGGTAAATATGATAAACAAGCCAAGTGGGATTCATTCTGTCTTGGCTCTTTCCAGCTCCGTCTGGA